AAGACAATGAGGACAGTGTGCTTTGGCTGCAGGCAAAAACAAATGGTCCCAAGTAACATTGGTCTAGTCAATTAGCACATTAGGTTTCATTCATTCGTTTGCTAGTTCGTTCGATCGTTCGTTCTGTTATTCGTCCATTCATCACCCTGTCATTATTGATTCGTTCGGTAATTAATTCATTCTGTGGTTCGTTTATCAATTTGTTTGACTTTTGTATATTCATATTAAATGACTTTGCAATGAACTGTATTTATGAGCAAATATTAGTCAAACATGAATGCATAAACTCGCTCCACCATATAAAACGGACGAAAACGGAAACAGAACTGTGTACCTCCTGTTTAGCCGACTGGACACTGAAATATCAACCATTGGAGCCAAAGTCTTTCATATTTCAATAACACATGTATATGTGATGTTATTTCAAAATCAGAAAATGGTTTAAAAACTGTCCTTACTTTGGACCACCAAGAAGAATATTTATGTAATTTGGATGTCTATCATCATATTCAGTATACAATAAATTAGACGCTTTAAATAATCTCTGTATGCAATAACAATAGATATCTTTCAATGTTTCTGTTTTCCTACTAAAGAATGTACAAAGTCGATTTAAAAATTTAATTTTACCTATACATCACTTGTAGCAAGGAACATATTACTTATTTTATATTGAAAAGCTTGTAACCTTGTTTCCATTATACATCTAACTGAATTGGCATATATATCATGCCAGCTGAAATTGTCTTCTATTTCAATAACATATTTCCATTTCGCTTGTCTCCTTTCCGGTTTTATTACAACCTGTTGAACAAATTTCCAATAAATAAAGTTCCAGTCAGTTTTGCTCGACATGCAAATGTAAGCGGTACAATATCTGCCTTCGTAGTTTTATTATAACTTCATTGTGTTCTATTCAGTTTCTGTATCCTTGGTTCTAGTGTTTGTTTATCTTGGTTAAGATAGAATAATATTGAATACAATTTTGAGGCGCTACCGCTTCTAAATCATTGAATTCTCTGATTACCCCATTATGGAAAAGATCCTTTACTGTGCCTAAACCACTTTGTGTTTTCTATGGATTACATAACTTTAATACAAAATTAGTTTCGCTTTTGTATAAATATTCTGACAAAGTATCAGGCTGTCTTTGGAGTTCTAGCAAAACAAAGACAATCCCTTCAGAAAGGATTTTCAAAATATTTCCGAACCTTCAGTTTTTGCTTTAAAGATCAACAACAACAGTTCAATTTCAAGAGGCAAAATTTCTTTTAACATTTTAATCAAGAATTTCCTTGAATTCATAAATTTTTTATCCATTTCACTTTCAGATATTTTTCAAAGAAAAACATGGGTCATGTTGAGGCCTCCATCTTCCCCACAAGAGAAAAAACTGCCTGAATGCCGACACTTGTATTTTGAACAAGACAAAAACAAAATAGCGGATACCATGTAGATAGTCTGAACCCTTTGTACTATAACATCATCAGCCCCTTTACGTCCTTGTTATCCATGCGTACATTTCAATGTTTTGTTAGCTCTGACAGTTTCAGTTCCTTTTTCCTTAGTTCTGACAATTTCAGTTCCTTTTTCCTTAGTTCAGACAGATTTAGTCCCCTTTCCTTAGTTCAGACAGTTTTAGTTCCCCTTTCCTTAGTTCAGACAGTTTTAGTTCCCATTTCCTTAGTTCAGACAGTTTTAGTTCCCTTTTCCTTAGTTCAGACAGTTTTAGTCCCCTTTCCTTAGTTCAGACAGTTTTAGTCCCCTTTCCTTAGTTCAGACAGTTTTAGTTCCCTTTTCCTTAGTTCAGACAGTTTTAGTCCCCTTTCCTTAGTTCAGACAGTTTTAGTTCCCTTTTCCTTAGTTCAGACAGTTTCAGTTCCCCTTTCCTTAGTTAAGATAATTTCTGTTCCCATTTCCTTAGTTCAGACAGTTTTAGTTCCCTTTTCCTTAGTTCAGACAGTTTTAGTTCCCCTTTGTTAGTTCAGACAGTTTTAGTCCCCTTTCCTTAGTTCAGACAGTTTTAGTTCCCCTTTCCTTAGTTCAGACAGTTTTAGTTCCCCTTTCCTTAGTTCAGACAGTTTGAGTTCCCCTTTCCTTAGTTCAGACAGTTTTAGTTCCCCTTTCCTTAGTTAAGACAGTTTCTGTCCCCCTTTCGTTAATTAGTTCAGACAGTTTTAGTTCCCCTTTCGTTAATTCAGACAGTTTTAGTTCCCCTTTCGTTAATTCAGACAGTTTTAGTTCCCCTTTCCTTAGTTCAGACAGTTTCTGTTCCCCTTTCCTTAGTTCAGACAGTTTTAGTTCCCCTTTCCTTAGTTCAGACAGTTTCTGTTCCCCTTTCCTTAGTTCAGACAGACAGTTTCAGTTCCCCTTTCCTTAGTTCTGACAGTTTTAGTTCCCCTTTCCTTAGTTCAGACAGTTTTAGTTCCCCTTTCATTAATTCAGACAGTTTCAGTTCCGATTTCCTTAGTTCTGACAGTTTTAGTTCCCCTTTCGTTAATTCAGACAGTTTTAGTTCCCCTTTCCTTAGTTCAGACAGTTTCTGTTCCCCTTTCGTTAATTCAGACAGTTTCTGTTCCCCTTTCATTAATTCAGACAGTTTCTGTCCCCCTTTCGTTAATTCAGACAGTTTCTGTTCCCCTTTCCTTAGTTCAGACAGTTTTAGTTCCCCTTTCCTTAGTTCAGACAGTTTTAGTTCCCCTTTCCTTAGTTCAGACAGTTTTAGTTCCCCTTTCCTTAGTTCAGACAGTTTTAGTTCCCTTTTCCTTAGTTCAGACAGTTTTAGTTCCCCTTTGTTAGTTCAGACAGTTTTAGTCCCCTTTCCCTAGTTCAGACAGTTTCAGTTCCGATTTCCTTAGTTCAGACAGTTTTAGTTCCCCTTTCCTTAGTTAGACCAGTTTTAGTCCAGTTCAGACAGTTTTAGTTCCCCTTTCCTTATACCACCAACAGTTCAGACAGTTTTAGTTCCCCTTTCCTTAGTTGAGATAGTTTTAGTCCCCTTTCCCTAGTTCAGACAGTTTCAGTTCCCCTTTCCTTAGTTAAGATAGTTTTAGTCCCCTTTCCTTAGTTCAGACAGTTTCTGTTCCCCTTTCCTTAGTTCAGACAGTTTTAGTTCCCCTTTCCTTAGTTCAGACAGTTTCTGTTCCCCTTTCCTTAGTTCAGACAGTTTCTGTTCCCCTTTCCTTAGTTCAGACAGTTTTAGTTCCCCTTTCCTTAGTTCAGACAGTTTCTGTTCCCCTTTCCTTAGTTCAGACAGTTTTAGTTCCCCTTTCCCCTTTCGTTAATTCAGACAGTTTCTGTTCCCCTTTCCTTAGTTCAGACAGTTTTAGTTCCCCTTTCGTTAATTCAGACAGTTTTAGTTCCCCTTTCGTTAATTCAGACAGTTTTAGTTCCCCTTTCGTTAATTCAGACAGTTTCTGTTCCCCTTTCCTTAGTTCAGACAGTTTTAGTCCCCTTTTCTTTGTTCTGACAGTTTTAGTTCCCCTTTCGTTAATTCAGACAGTTTCTGTTCCCCTTTCCTTAGTTCAGACAGTTTTAGTTCCCCTTTCGTTAATTCAGACAGTTTTAGTTCCCCTTTCGTTAATTCAGACAGTTTCTGTTTCCCTTTCGTTAATTCAGACAGTTTCTGTTCCCCTTTCGTTAGTTCAGTCGGTTTTAGTTCCTTTTTCCTTAATTCAGATAGTCTGATATTTTCTGAAATTGTGAAATTTCTATTTGTGTTAAGCTATCTTGTTTAGATGTATATGGATTCTTAAATATACACTTCTGCTCCAATTATCTTCGTTTGGTATGCAATCTGCTCTCTGTAATTAGATCAGTAATACTGAAATTGACAACATAGCGTGTTTTCTCCCAATTTCAAACCAGTTCGCTTTTGACTGTAAAAGAGAGACCTTCCATTTTACTTTTCCTTAATACTGCACTTCCGGGTTTTTTTTGGTAATTGAATTACCCTCAATAAGTAACATTTCCGTTTTGATTTACACTGTATCATTGTATTTCTGACTCTAAATCATTCTCGAGTTTTCCCCTCTTACTTTTTGTTTTTGAAATTTTTGAAAATTGAGAGAGAATTTTAACCTTTAACATTTCACGATGTATTTGGTCATTTCAATGTGACAGTCTCCGTGTAATGCAATATTCATTTCTTGTCACATCAGTAGGATCTTCTCCCATTCTAAGAGAGAAGCATTGTTTCCAGTGTCCTTGTATACCACGTTCTACTTGACTGAAATATTTCGTTTTTGAATGTGTCTTCTAAAACAAAAAAAAAGTATTCTATCCAGATTTTAATTTGTGGAATGGGATTGTTTTCCCTCGTGTGAAGTATATCCGGTATGAACATATACAGGACCAATTCACTTCCATTCGGACTCATCTATTTATTTTCAATGGTAAAAATAAAACATTGATGTTGAATTCAAATGAAATGATATGCAAACTTGAATGAAAATAAACCCTGACTCTTTTGTTTCTCGAGATTAAGGAGTTTCACTGCTCTGTTCTGTACAATATACAAATCGCCACAACATACATGTCAAGTATTGATAAAGATCTGAAACAGCACTGAGAGTGGAAAATCATTTCTTAAATTCAGAAAGTTGATTCAACACATGGGGACTTGGGGTGGGGCCCCAAAAGGGGAAGTAAGACGAGATTTTTATGTACCAGAGACCCACGTTATATCAGACATTTGATTCTGTATCGTCATTAACAATTTCAACATTAACGTTTACTAGTGCCGTGTGAGTGCAATATTGTCAGTTTATTTATAAAACTTTACATTAGTATGCATGTCTGGCATGTCATATCGTTTAGAATATTATTCACGTGTTTTTGAAAGGATGTATCATCACAACATTACGTGCGAGGAATCAATTCTCCACAGTTTATCCTATCTGTACTGATATATGACGGGGTTATCTCCCCAAATACTTTCAGTTTCCAGTAGATGACGCCACATGCTCCCCTTACGTCAATGGCTGTTTATCATACACATGCATTACAATAGTTGCACTCAGCCGGGAAAGAACAGATGTTGACATGATTAGCAGACGTTACAACTAGGGTCTGCCCAATTACCAAAAACTGTAAGTATTCGCTGGAAAGATTGATCTCAACAGGTCTTTATTAAGCTGTTATTAGTCGCTACTCTAAGCTACTTTGATAGATTATGTAGAATAACGCAAGTTGTTTACAAAATCAATATTTTCCCCGTTTACTCTTCTTTCGTTTACTGTCATACTTGTACATATGAACGATATACGTTTTAGTGACAGATACGGCGACGTTGTTGTTTAAGTTTATTATTTACGTAAATTGCTGCGCCACGTTTGTCAAATTCGCCGGTTTGTTTTGATACTCGGCCGAAGCAGGTTTCCATTTCTAACGTTGATCATGAGTATTGTAAACATATGCAACCAAGCGTGATGAGAGCCGGGCCTCAGTAGCATGTTTAAACCTTCATTGCCAGTATACAATTTGATTTGTACGTAAGGCCATAAAAGTGGATGATAAACCCGTTAAATAAAAATAGTATTCAATTTGGCCATGGCATATCGACCTGATCAGCTGGGTATCTGTATCAGTGACAAATTTAAGAGGTGATAATTTACTAATCCAGTTAATTAAAAAATCGGCGAAATCAGTATCATAAGTTGTCTAAAGGTGAATTTAATTTCACAAATGAAGAATTCGTAATATGTTATTTTCAACTTAAAATTTTAAGAAATTTATCTATCAAACTCTTAAAATTGAGAAGTCAGATGATGTATGTGTGGTAAATACTCTCCCCATCAGTATTGTTAGTATTATTATACTTATGTTATATATGTACTGACATGTTTAATGTCATTGGGTTATGTTCCCAGCAAATGTCATCACCATGTTTTATGTCAATGTAATGGAAGTCATTATCAAATTCATATTGATGCCTATGTAAGGGAACAGAACACTGTGACCTATGAAGGTGTTTCTTGTGCTACTCACTAAACGGATGAGGTTACCTCTAGTATACCATAGTAACCTACAATTTAATGCTATTTACCAGTAGAATATAATCGGTTTAGGTGGGGGATCATAGTGATCTGCCACTCATAATCTCTATGAAGGCAAAACTGCATCACTATGATTCCCAATAACTTATTGTGTCACATGAAAATATCCCCATTCTTCAAACAGTAGCATGATATTTGGACAGACAAGAGTATTGGCATTAGTGTCTAGAACCTCTAAAAACCTAATGACAGCTAAAATTTTAAGACACTCCTAACCATTTGAGTTACAAGCACCTCTTCTTGTATCTGTTTCCTAACACTTCTCTCTCTAAGACAGTACCATGGTATTTGCTTTGCCAATTAATATTTATTGCATATGCTGATCGAAAGGAGAGCTGGTAAAAAAATTTAGAAGAAAAACCCAGATCAGATTTCAAACAAGGGTTGTCCCAAAGTCTGCAGATTCTGTAGCGATGTAGTTCAAATTAATCTCATATGTAGTTAAGCTAGCTGGTGCAATCCTACTGCATCCAAGTTGTGTATCTCAACCAACCATTCATCTGTGTTAGTATAAGATGACAGTGAGTAAGGTAACCACTGTTTTGACTACATAGATCTTATTGATTTTCAAACAGGTTTTACAACCAGGTACATTCAACTAGTAAATTTTATCATTTTATAAACACTCTCAAATTTTGCTCCTGTCCTCATTTGTACTGCAAGTTGTCAGACTTGAATTCTTTGTAATTCCTTAACTTTTTACTATGCTTGTTCTATAAATGCAATAGATCTGTAAGAGCTGGAATAAAACATAAACTATTCATAAATTACAAGAGATTTTCCAGATTACGAACTGTGCCATTTTACTAGGTCAGGTGTCAGAGTCAGGCTTATATTATAGGTGCACAAAAAAGGGCAGGATGAAAAAAAAAATACCAGTACGCTCATACTAGACATTTTTTTTTCAAGTACCTGACTTTCAGTGTCTGAAACAGATCGTCTGGAACGTTCATTTGCAATTGCATGCAGGATGATTTGAAAGATTGAAATTAAAATAACATTCTCATGGATTTAATTAATGATACTTTTAATACAAATCACAATAATCTCTTCTGGACCTTGGTGTACTTCGAAGCCAGTCTTTTGCATCCAGACTCCATAGGTCATCAGGTTAAAAGTCATATTCTAGAATGACCTCCATGCTTGTTTACAATATGAATGGCTTTGTGTAACTAAAGAAATAATATAGATTTATAAAAATGTGGTGAGCATGCAAGGGCCTTTGTTAATATTTAACATTACAGACACCAATGGAGAGATTGTTTAATGACCTTGCAAGCTTTATTAAATGTTTTACTGACAACCTTGATAAATTGCCCTCCATTGTCTGTTACATCAACAAACTTTGGTCAATGTAATGTAATGTACTTTGTAAGAAAGGGTATGGTGTGTATTCCGGTGCAGCTTGTATGTGGATCAAATCGAAAAAATGGGCTGTACAGCTTATATACCAGTGTGGCTTATAACCATGAAAATACAGTACCTTGGGCACTCAAGCATTTTTGAATATTGCGTATACTTGATTTGCTATACAACTTGTAACCCTATACCATTTCAGTCTTATTAAGATGCAGTTTGTAATCTGTCACCAAGTTGATGGAGCAATCTTCCTCAGTTCAGTGAGTTGAGTCTTAGGTTATTATGCTTGAGTCAAAGAGCTATAGCACTTGAGATTTCATATTTACATCCAATGAATCTTAATGGATCGTGATATTGAAAGTCTCTGTTGAAATTTGGAAAAGTTTCGGGAAAAAAACTTGAAGTACCAATAAATAAGGTTTCTTTGACTCAGTGAACATGATATAATTGGATGTCTCTGGCTTACCTGTTGACTGTTGGATGGTATGATCAAGTCCAGTCAGAGAATTCAGCATGAATGTATGTTTGTCCATCTGTTCTTGCTCTGATGTAGATAACTTATGTTACAAATATTTTGTTCATGTTGATGAACTATGGAATGCTCATTTTAAAGTGTTAACACCCAATTGTAATATAGATATATCATATTTCACCAATTATTCTGTGTTCATTAATTAAAATACCGTAGCATAAAATCCAACTGCTGCAACTATTTGTAGTATGGAACGTCCTTGCAAAGTAATATACACAATACTGCCTGTGAGTCCCTCAGTAAGTGCCCTACAAGGTACCGCCAGGCACACACCACAGAACCCGAGTTTAGGTAATGGTAATTAGTGTAGGTCGTCGAGAATTACAATACAACACCAATCCCTAGTTGCAGACTTCAGACTTCTGTATTCAGAATCATCAACATGCATGTAGGGTAATTGTAACAGTTCACTTTAACAACACGCACATCACTCTCCCCTACATGGTGTAAAATCACACTCTTACAATGCAGTGCAATCTAACAAAGCAACACCTAGGCATCTCCAAATCAAACTCCCCACACTAAATTCTCATTCTTTTTTGATACTGAACCTAATTGGGCAAATTAATTCTGTATGACCTTTTTACATCATCCTGTCAGTCCCTGTCAGAGCCAGCCAGGGCAGTAGGGCAAATTTACCCAATTACTTGCATAAGGACACATGTAAACATTTAGAAAACTACAAGTAGCTGTGAATTAAGTCAGAGGCAATTAATACCACTTGAACAATGGGATGATATAAACCCAAACAATGTCATACAACAAACAATAGCCACGGATCAATGTAATATTCATATCATAAGATAATATCATAAGAAAATGGGTAAAAACAGCACTATATCTGAATTCACAAGGTCAACATGTACATAAGTCAAACATACAAAACAATACTGCTAAATATAATACATTACAGTAGGACTATTTACATGTTTCAATCAAGGCCAAGTAGGTTTTCCTCAGGTACTCTGTTTCCTCCTTCAGGAAGACCATTTCATGTTTCAGTCCAAGTGAACAAGATTTTTCTCAGGTATTTGAGTTTCCTCTCACAGTAGGACTAGGTGCTTGTTTCAATCTAGGACAACAAGGAATTTTCCTCAGATACTTTGTTTCCTCCCACAGTAGGACTAGGTGCTTGTTTCAATCTGGGACAACAAGGAATTTTCCTTAGATATTTGTTTCCTTCCACAGTAGGACAAGGTGCTTGTTTCAATCTAGGACAACAAGGAATTTTCCTTAGATATTTGTTTCCTTCCACAGTAGGACAAGGTGCTTGTTTCAATCTAGGACAACAAGGAATTTTCCTTAGATATTTGTTTCCTTCCACAGTAGGACAAGGTGCTTGTTTCAATCTAGGACAACAAGGAATTTTCCTCAGGTACTTTGTTTCCTTCCACAGTAGGACAAGGTGCTTGTTTCAATCTAGGACAACAAGGAATTTTCCTTAGATATTTGTTTCCTCCCACAGTAGGACAAGGTGCTTGTTTCAATCTGGGACAACAAGGAATTTTCCTTAGATATTTGTTTCCTTCCACAGTAGGACAAGGTGCTTGTTTCAATCTGGGACAACAAGGAATTTTCCTCAGGTACTTTGTTTCCTTCCACAGTATATTTACAGGTTTCAATTTAGGTCTGCCACAGCAGGTCCATTTACATATTCCAGTTCAGTCCAGTGAGGCCAACATTATCTTCAGGTACTCTATTCCAGCCCATAGTTAGAGCAGTTACTTGTTTCAATCCAGGCCAAAAAGGAATTTTCCTCAGATTCTTTGTTTCAACCCTCTTACAGGAGGATTATAGCTTGAACATTTCAAGCAAGGCCAACAATGATTTTTCCTGTGAAATTCTGTTTCCTCCCATAGTAGGCAATGGTAAATCTACATGTCAGTCCTAGCTGTGCCCAGTACTCATAGAATTTGATTGGACTCACAGAAGTTCTGAAAAAAATAGAATTTCACATTGTAGGGCACATTGTTTTTAACAGTAAAGTTGAAAAGCACTAATGAAAATAAATGTTTCATTGATCTCTGAGTATGCTGTTTCAATCGAGGCCATCAATGAATTTTCCTCAGGTGCCTGTGTTTCCTCCCTTAATAGGACCATTTGCTTGTTTCAATATTTATCTAGGTCAATAAAATGATTTCTTTAGGGACTCAGATTTCCTTCCACAGGAAGACCTCCTGCATGTTTCAATCGTGGCCATCAAGTGTGATCAACATTTGCAATTGGTGTAAAATATGGAACAAAGTTCACATAATTTTGTTATTTACAAGTTGCTTAACTTTACATACATGTTTATATGCATTTTTGTCATTTTTTCACATAGATGAGAGGGACAGAGGCCAAGGGAGAGAACTCAAGATGGTAGGCAGAGCAGTTGACCTATCATCTCAGTTCTGTATCACCAGTCATGTTGGAACATAACACTAAGTACCTGTGCCCACGCTTGGTGGACTACATCATAATCGTGGGCAGCAGGCATCCGAATCACAACAACAATGTTGCACAAACACCAGAGCTTCTACGCCGCTATCCACTGGAGGATCATCAAGATTTCCCTCTTCCACCAGACATTATATTCTTCTGTCAACCAGAAGGCTGTATAAGTGTAGGTCCGAAGCGTATGAGTCTAAGGGAAACAACTTCATTTGTATTTACTCTCACAGAAAAAGACAGTGGATTAGTTAGGTATGGCATTTGTGTGAATTTTTTCCGACCAATTGAAAAGAAATATTCAGAGAAATCAAAGTCGGAACGTTTTTATGGAGGAAGTACAGATGGAAATACATTAGGTATTGGCATTGACTCAGATGGTCGCCAAAGGTCACCAAGAACCTGTCGTAGACTCAAAACAGCGGGACGAGTAAGAAACAATACTCTCACTTCATTATGTATCGTCAGTCATCATCCCTTCTTTTCAACATTCCGAGAATGCATGTTTATATTAAGAAAGCTTGTAGATTCATGTCATGACCGAAGCTGTACAAAGAGAATTGGTGGATCTCGAGGCTCTTCAAGGTAATTCTTAATCTATATTTTAAAATTTGGATATTATTTGTCTACCTGTGATAATGTTTGATGATATCTTTGATGTTTTGATTATATGAATGTATCTGCTGCTGTATCCTTCTTCTTGGTGGGGGATGGGGAAACCCAAGGTCTCTTCAAGTATTTGTAATCATTTATTTAACAACTTGATTCTGTACTGTCGTCATCACAAAAGAGGTTTTTCTAAAGAAAGTAATTAAGAATATATATATTTAGAATGTATGCTAATTAAAGCAAGCTGTAATGTAAATGTGTAATTCCAAAGTGCTCTTTTTTATAATTTGTGGTCTGATGGCACATTGGATGATACACAACACTTTCATTTAACCTCGGTAATGTTCTGTAATTCTCAAATTGAACTTGAAATGTCTTTGTCAGCCTAGCAGACAAGGTGGATTTTCACTGGGTACCTTTCTCCTCTCACTGTAAGACCCGGTCCAGCTTCAGCTCCTAATATGAACTTTGACTGTTATATGATATCAATGGATTGATAACTTGTTTGATTTCATTTTCTATCTTTGACAGAAAATGTTTTTTGAATTTTGTATAGATTGTTGTGAAGTTCAGACCATTGAAAGTATAATTGTAAAATATATGTATGATAGATTTAAGAAATCACTGTTGTCATAAAATAATTCCCACCACTATGAACTGAACATGTTATGATATTGAATTTCTATCTTACATCTTATTTATGTGATGTTTTCAATTGATGATGAACACTGATAATAGAACAGTGAATGAAACATCCCTAATTGAGACTCTGATTAAAGGTAGATTTTTTTTAAGTATTTGCAATTTTCATTGATCATGACAAGTTAATCACACTTCAACAGATTGAAGTGAAGAGTAATATTCCTTTGGGCTTGTTGCACATAATGAACTACAAGACAAAACAAATTTATTTCAAGGAGATTTTGAAGGGCAAAGTATACTGTATTTGTTGCAGTCGCCTGGAAAATTACTGCATTTCCCCAAAAATTGATGTTTTATCAAACTTGTGTCGACCAAAAAGAATGCTAATGTCTTTGTAAAGCTATCCTTATGTTCACCCTGGTGATGTAGTGGTTGTGTGTAATTAAGGGTGATTTTGTGAGGCCACAGACATCTTCTGGTAATGTCTGTGGTCTGCTGAAGTCAGATTCCCCATCTACATTTTGTGATTTATGAGAAGAAAGCCAAATGTTGGTATAACATTGGTATATTGTGTTGTGACAATAGTTTTGTAGGGATAATAACATTGTTAGGATCAATGTGTATTGTTATAGAAAATCAATACTGCTTATTAATGGCTTCAAATCAAGACAAGAATAAATGCTGTAGACGCAATCTCAACATAAATAGTTGCTGACTGTTGTCATTTTAGAAAATGGAGGTCAGTATGATAGTATTGTTACGACTGTGTAGCATTGGTTCTGTAGTATTCAATAGGTTGATGAAAGCAACTAACTTATGGAGATGTCTGTTGTAATTTTGCTGACAAATAAGAAAAAACCCATCTAAATAAAAATTTATTGAAATATCAGCATTAACTAGAAAAAAAGGAAAGGATATTGCAATGGATAAATTAGAACATGTCACAGACATGTTGTGGTATGTATATAATATAAAAAGGGTTTGAACAAATTTCCATTAAGTTACATAAATTTTAGGGCAGTATAATTGTGAAAAAGGTTTTAAGAAATATTCGCTGGATAAAGAATAGTTTTAACAAATGATCATAAAATTGGCACATCTGTTGAACTAGCTAATCTGTCATTGCTTACAGACTGGAAAATTTGTATACAGAGAAATCCTAGGCTTGAAATATGTATTTGTCAGAAATTTAGTAACAGTTATACGTATAATATAGGAAACCAATATGATGAAATAACCCATGATTGTTAAGACATATTATGTACTGGGCCTTAGATGAACTCCGGTAACAGACTTATTAATTGAGACTTGGAGCTGGAGGACCATGTGGCATCATGCCAGCAATCTGTCTAATTGATTAAAGGATTTTGACACAGAATCCTGTCCAGTCAATATCTGTACCTACCATGGATCAGTGAGACACATTGAAGTCATTATATGGACTGCCTATTTTTGGTTGGTGTCATCATCCTTAAATGACAATTTATTTGAAGATGTATTACGCAGTAATAAAATAATCATGCTGTGATTAGGATTGAGAGCGTTGACTTTTACTGATAGATGTACAGATCAATGACATTGTGGAGCCTAAAGGCCTTTCATTAGGATCTAGAACCTGTAGTTAGATATGTAATGGGACAGATTACCAAAACATACATATTTATTAAATTGTCATAGGAAACTAATTGGTTGTAAATATTGAAAAGAAGAAAATAAGATTTAAATTACAAGGTATTTGTCTTAAAGGTTTTTGTGTCTGAAAGTAAATCTTTGTCATTGAATCAATTATTGATTTTATTAATGATCATTGCGGTTGATGAAATGAAAGCTCCATGATTGGAGGAAAACAAAACTACAAGTAGTTTGGATAAATATTTAAAAACTGCCAACTAAGTGATATTTGCGAGATATATTGCCTGAAGCAGTTTGGAAACAATTCTGCCTATGGTGAAATCTAGACCATTTTGAATGGGAAAGTGTAGGAAGCTGGAAATCAGTACCACCCACATGTATTGATCTGGTTGATCAACAACCTCCACAGAGAGTTGATTCAGGATGCAGTCACACTTGGCAAGCTGCCAACACAAGATCAATAATCTTGGGAGAGCTCCCATCAGTCTAATGAATGAGAAACTGGCCCTCTGGTAGCAGGGTAGAGTTAGAAAGCCTTTACTGCCATGGACACATTATCAAAGATATTTTCAGAGCTCCTTGTGAGAAAACGGCTGATTATTGGCACGCTGTTTATAAGAAAATGTGATTATCTTGCTTTTCCTTCTGTCAACTTACAACTTAAAAGTAATTTTCTCTTAGGTTCTTCTCTCAGTGACCCTAATCTTAGAGACGCACAGCACATGTAGGCTTATTAAGCTGTATATTGCATTTTCAGGGGTCTTTATTTTATGCAAAGAATAGTAGATATTACAGATTTGCTTTTGTAATATATTACATGACATACTGTGTATAAGTTAGTCCTTGTTTGCAAATACAATGCCGATTTAAATCCCAATTGTGTATTTGTTTGCTGAGATTTCACCCTTTGAATGGCCCAGGCAGTTTTTAGGTAGAGTCCCTTGTAGTAATTGCAGATGGCTGTTTCACGTAATAGCATGCAAAAGCCGCACCATACATAATCCACATTGATTGGGGTAAATTGTCTTATTCAAATTAAGACACAATCACTATGGCACAGCAAAATCTGATCAGCAATCTTGAGATGATGTAAACTGTAACACTGAAACAGTGTATATCTTGTTGATGAGGTTTCCTTTGAGGTTGAGACATGACAGTCTCTAATGATTTGTTTGTTCAAATCTATCGAATGATAAAAACAATAATAGCTAGGATGATTAAAAGCATTCAAAAAGTTGTTTGTTGTGTTGGGTATTATTGCTGAATTGCATATATCATGAATTTAAAATCAAAGAATTCAAAACATTAAATTCACAAAATTGAAATAATGTTGGCATTTTAACATGCAAACAGTAATGAAGGTGCATCCTTTGCCTGGTCATGATGTTCTAGAGAGTACGAAAATCTGAAATTAATTTGCAACAGGTGCAACACTTGGCAGTTTTTTTTAATTCAAATATATGACACTTCAAATTACCAGATTATTGTTTATTATGGAATACATTGTCCAAACTATGACAGACCATCATATATAACACCAGGTAAAACCATGTTTAGTTTGTCAAAAACATCATGAAAATTTGGTTAAGCAAAAAAAACCTAGAATTGCCTCCAGTCTGGAATAGCTCTGTACTCTTTAATTATTGTATTGTAATTTTTGTGGTATGTCCTCATGTTGTTTACATGTCATTTTTACAGAGACACAGTATGGGGTGTGCTGACAGGACAAGGCACAGACAACATCACAGGGCTAGTGATGCATGAGGTTAAGGAAATAGAGACTTGGATTCTACGACTCCTGAGTGCACCTGTTCCAGTGCCGGGCAAGACACGAGTTGAAGTAAGCACAATTTCTTAGTGGTTTAGGTAGAAAAGCCAACCTGTAATAAGCCCACCTCCCATGACTTTGAGTCAAGGGCATATATGTTGGCCCCCTGGGCTTTTTGCAGAGTCACTACACAGGTTTAATGCTGTTAAGCTGATATTCAATTCAAATTTTGAAAATACGTAACTATGTAACTATGCAAAATTTAGAGGGTATGCACTCATGAACAACCTGTTGGCATCTTTCATAACGTTGACAGAATAAGATGGTTGCAAACTCCAGAGAATCACAAAGAAACCTTGTTCAGTTGATGGAGAAATAGATAACTTAGAACACTAATTCACTGAACAGTCAATTCAGAACAAGAAATCCTAGCTCACTAATTCATTGAGTACAGAGAAGATAACCTAGCTCCCTAATCTACTGTTTAGTCGGTGAAAACAAGGATAACCTTGTTCACTAATTCACTTATATAATTGATGGAGAAGACGATAACCCAGCTCACTAATTCACTGATGTAGAAGATAACCTAGCTCACTAATTCACTGATGGAGAAGAAAACCTAGCTCACTAATTCACTGATGAAGAAGAAGATAACCGAGCTCACTAATTCACTGATGTAGAAGAAGATAACCTAGCTCACTAATTAAATGATGTAGAAGATAACGTAGCTCACTAATTCACTGATGTAGAAAATAACCTTCCTCACTAATTCACTGATGGAGAAGAAGATAACCTAGCTCACTAATTCACTGATGTAGAAGATAACCTAGCTCACTAATTCACTGATGGAGAAGAAAACCTAGCTCACTAATTCACTGATGGAGAAGATAACCTTCCTCACTAATTCACTGATGGAGAAGAAAATAACCTTCCTCACTAATTCTCTGATGAAGAAGAAGATAACCGAGCTCACTAATTCACTGATGTAGAAGATAACCTAGCTCACTAATTAAATGATGAAGAAGAAGATAACCTAGCTCACTAATTTACTGATGGAGAAGATAACCTAGCTCACTAATTCACTGATGAAGAAGATAACCTAGCTCACTAATTCACTGATGAAGAAGATAACCTAGCTCACTAATTCACTGATGGAGAAGATAACCTAGCTCACTAATTAAATGATGAAGAAGAAGATAACCTAGCTCACTAATTCACTGATGTAGAAGATAACCTAGCTCACTAATTAAATGATGAAGAAGAAGATAACCTAGCTCACTAATTCACTGATGAAGAAGAAAACCTAGCTCACTAATTAAATGATGAAGAAGAAGATAATCTAGCTCACTAATTCACTGATGGAGAAGGAGATAACCTAGCTCACTAATTCACTGATGGAGAAGATAACCTAGCTCACTAATTCACTGATGAAGAAGAAAACCTAGCTCACTAATTAAATGATGAAGAAGTTAACCGAGCTCACTAATTCACTGATGGAAAAGAAGATAACCTAGCTCACTAATTCACTGATGGAGAAGGAGATTACCTAGCTCACTAATTCACAGATTAGTTGCCTTCTAATTACAGATGAAGACCACAGGAAGACAGACTAGGTAAATCAGGGCATTAGGGCATTCTGTTGACCATTGGCATTTGTCAATTTCAAAAGTCATTCACAAATTTGAGGTGTCAAGACAGTAAAAAGACGTTTCCCTTCGGTCTCGAGAGTCTAAATTCAATTTTTGGAAGCCATAAACAGTCTCTCAAGTGTGTACTGAACGTCAGTACATGGCACTCTAACCAACTTAGCACTCCATGAGTGCAGGCTAACTAGCATTTAAGATCATGCCTTATTTAATAAAGTTATCAATTAGTAGATTATTTAGACAAGGAGGTGGATGGCCTTGGTCTGTGACAGACTGTGGCCTTACTCAATAACTAGTAGTTTTATCTACATGGATCTGTTGACACCAGCTGATGATCACTTTTATCATAAACTTCATGATAATCTAGATTTAGAGCACTTTAATTGGTTATTGACTGAACCAGAAATTAATAGCTAAATTATACTGAGATCAGTTTAACTCTGTCAAATATTATTGAAAATTGCTCTTTTTGATATGTGTTCGACAAAATATTTGTTTGTTTATAACCTTAGCATAGGTAAGTCTGTGATGTACATATTGAGCCATCTGTTACTAAAATGGAAAGAGAGTCCCTAGTGTACGGTATGTGTAGGTGTGTATATACATTTTATATTGGAATGTTAAACAATGTGCCTTATTTATAGGAGAGACCAGCCAGCATATCATTCAAGGAAAGTAGGCGTTATTGCTTAACTTCCCCATAAATGTATAAATTCCTTACACATTATGTATTGTCCTTTTTTGTCGGAGAAAATGGGATAGGTATAGAGTAAGCTCTATACCATCAGTAATGATATTTTCTGTCAATCTTCAGTATTGAGGAGTTCGGGGGTTAATTAAAGTCTGTCCGCTACATGCATTCTGGTAACTCTGATATACTGGTTATCGGGAGTTCCTATAATCAATCTTCTCCACTAAATTTTTCCTCTGACAGACTAATTTTCAAACAGCCATCCAATGATCAGTCCATTAACAAAAGTTTTATCGAGCCTGTACTTAGAGCTTGTGCACTTTAAGAAAACTTGTTCTATCGTTTTAATAACTTTGGTAGTGTAATGACAGATATGTTATGTGCCCTTTCCAATTTTTCCCATCATTTTTGAGACAGTGCACACTAATTTTTGATGGAGTCCTTACTGGATGAAATGCTGAAGTGATAGACTCTTTAATGATTAGCAGTAGCATAAAATCCAAGGCTGTATTTGAGTTTTTTTTTATCTTATAGGGAGGTTGAAATAAAAAAAAACCCCAACATGTGTCTGGCATTTGATAACATATTTGTCCTTAAAACAAAGTAGGGAAATCAGGTGACTGATTGTTAGGTACAGGTACCAGATGTCCGAATGGATTAGACAGAAAATTCTAGCACTGCATAACCTGTCTCATGTACAGGTATCAACAATCACAATCTGACACCCTTGGATAATACATTGGATTTCCACAGTGTAATGAACTGTTATAACCTGTTATATTGAGAGGGTGCATTGCATCAGGCTCCACATTTTAATTACAACACAGACATAGGTTTTACTGATACACTGGTAGCTATATGAATGCTTCTGGTGCCTTGAGGTGCAGTGTCGTATACATATATGTAGCTAATTGTTGGAACATTATCACCTACACAAGGATCCATGATTGAAAATTGAATCAAAATCAATAAATAATAATAAATGTTCATTGACCTGATTCTTATAGAAATTAAATGCACTTTTGAAAATTATCTATCTTTATCCAATAAATAGTGGTTGTTAGAAATAAGGTTGTAGCAAAAATCAACCTATGTACAGGGTTTGTATTGCCTATAACTTGGTATGGGCTTATATCTACTTCTTCAAATGTTTCATTTGTCTTGTAAGGAAATCTTTGAAATGTTCAGAGAAACAAGTTTAGTGGGTTACTAATTTACATCTCTTGATCCAAATAAGTAACTATCATAATAATGTTCAGGCTCTTTTACTTCAAGAACAATAAAATTGAAATTTACTGGGTACTGAAATGATATGAACTTAGAAAATAATGCCTTAAAATTGTGAATTTCATGACCCCAAGGTCTCAAATTTTCCAATTGGGAGGGTGTAAAGTTATTATAATCTATATAGTCAGATTGACTTAAATTTCAAAAATCTTTTCAACATCTAGGTATGGTAGAAACAAATGCTCTTCATGGACGGAAGTGTCATAAGATGCTATAATTACCAAAATGGGTCTCACATTTCTTCCTGGGGAGGAGGTTAACTTTAATTTTTATAGAAAAATTTCATTTTTTAGGCAAAATGTTTATTTTCCTCTGGAAATAACTTTGTAAGAAGTTGGTATAGGATGACAGTTCTGATGGTATGCAGGTATTGACACTGCTTACTATGATCAATGTCACAATTTCTTTTTCATATCACTTGACAGCTACTTACTCTTTAACTTTACTATCAATATTGCTTATCTCAAGCCCGCTAGGCCTTTGTTTTGTGAAATATTCTTTCTTTATGAAGCTGAACATATTTGATGCTAGTATACCTGGTGGTTCAATTGTTGTTTACCTTTAGCTTGTTCTCCTCTGGGAATGTAACATTATTGACTTAATTAGTGCTTACTTAGACTGACCAAGATATACATGTTGTCGTTAAAGCAAAAGACGCTTTAATACCTATTCTTAACACTTTGTCTTATTCTCTTTGTACTTGTTCAGGAGTCTCCCTGTAAATCTTTTTTTTTTGTTATGTCGCCTGGGGAAGAAATTGATGAGTTGAGATGACTAAAGTATCAGTTCTTGTTTTTTTTTTTACATAAAAAGAAAAAAACCCCAAGAAGACGAGCCAAAGATAAATACTTTCAATAACTTCTGAAATGAACTCACCAAGTCACGAACGCAAAAAGATAAAACCTTACTTCTGCATTGTTAAGTTACCAGACCTCTCTACATGGTGATGGGATCATGCATGATATAGGTATTTTGCAAAACCTTAGTGGAAGGTAAATAAATAAATAAAATAGGGAAGTAATTAGTAGAGTGTTCGTTGGTAGGGATGGTTACATCTGTAATTGCAGATTTCATGGATTTCTTGGAGATTGTTAAAAGCATTGTCAATCCTGTTACGATGACTCTGTTATGATGACTGTCAATCCTGTTACGATGGCTGGAATTCCATCTTTCCTATATATCCAGGGTTTGCTAAACTGGACATCTTATTTTCCTCTGATGTAGGTTTTTTTATTGAGGATTAATATCATTGCATTGATGCAGCTGTAAAATGCTCCAAGTTCAAGAGAAGACTTCACAAACTGAAGTGTTCCAAAGTATTTTTAAGACTTTGTGGAGGACCTATAAATAGATGTATTGAATAATCAGTGTAAATTTTGTTTAACAGTGCAAAGCTTAATTAGCTTTACTAGAGTAATTACATGTGTAATGTTTCTTCTGAACTTTTAACTTTAGAATAAGGTTAGCAGTATTGTACAAATACTTTAAAGTCTGTTTTTCTGTACCTGCTTTAACACTTGAATGAATAGGATTTTGAAGGCTTTTAGTGAAGCCTTAAGTTTGGCCACTTTTAACTGTAATATAGTACTGGTTGGTTATTTAAAAACTATCTTAAGGCGATTGAATATAGAAATATTTGTGTGTATTTGTGTAAATGATTATGAGTTTTTGTAAGCTATGTCCAGGGAACGCTTGTAGCTGAATTACAACACTTAACCTATTGCCACATTACTAGAACTTAAGTACTTAACGTGTGTGGGCACTTTAAATGATCCCATTAGTGTAAAACAACACATATTGCCTTCTTGTTGACATTTCAGAAAAAGATTTCAAATTTTTACTTCATTTTTCCGTTTTGATTTAGTTTTTCAACATATAGTGTTTATCTGGCAATAACTTGATGCCTGGTTATAAGCCTACCTATATCTTAATGGCTTTCTTTTGAAAATGCCAGAAAATGTTATACATACCAGGTAAATGTCCTGTTATCAGCTATAACCCCAGACTTTGGTAACAGGTAATGTTCATGCCTCTTAGGTTTATTGCAGGATAAACACCCTAACTTTACATTGCACACAAACATATTTGAAAGACATGTAAGAATTTTGAAAAATTGTCTTGTTTTTGATTTTGAGTCATGTTTAAAAACATGTTCATTGCTATTAAGTGTTTGATGACTAAATGATCCCATAACACAGTGAAAGTCAGTAGGTTCTGTTTGATATGTGCTAGAGGATTTCTGTCAATAAATCTGAATGTACTAGAAGTGGTTTGGTCTCTTTTCTTGTTATCATCAGGTCAGCATTGTTTTCTGTAAATATTTTTAATTATACCTATATGAACTGTCTCTTACTAGGTACATGATATCTTGTTTAGATTGATCCGTTTATTAACTGTGGTCACCTGCCTATAAGCTTCCCCAGGTACACAACTTTCCTTTTACAGCTTGGAGCCAACAAGATTGATTGGTACAAGTTGGTATTGTTTCATAATTATTGTAAAACTAATAAAGTAATTATTTATTGTATTTGTATATGTACCTGACTTATTCCTTTAATTACTTGGTCTTTTCAGGTACAGGTGTTGCCAAAGGATTTACAGCCTCCTTTGTTATTTGCTCTGCCAGACCACACCCGGTTCTCTCTCATCGACTTCCCCCTCCACCTTCCCCTGGAGCTCCTTGGTGTAGACACCTGCCTTAAAGTTCTGGCTGCTATAATGCTGGAGTACAAGGTAATTAAATAGTTCTGCACCTTTTTTCCTATGTTTTAGTCATTATCACACAGAAATTATGTAAACACCTAATTACAGTTTTTTTTGAGGATGAAAAAAAAATTAGTTAAAGTCACAATTGCTATTTATAGCAGACACTGCGTTCCTAATTGCACTTTCAAAAAGAGTAAATAAAAAATTGGGATATGTTGGACAGATTTTTGTTTTGGACTTCCAAGGTCAAAGTCACTTGAACTGATTAAAGAAAATCTGTTATAACACACAGTCCACTATCATTGATGTTGATGTGTACCTGTTTCTAAGACTGATAATGATGTCTTGCCATCCTTGTTATAGGTGGTGATGCAGTCCCGGGACTATAATGCCCTCTCTATGAGTGTGATGGCATTTGTGACCATGCTCTATCCCATGGAGTATATGTTTCCTGTTATCCCACTATTACCTACCTGTATGTCTTCTGCTGAACAGGTAAGTCAAACACACCTATCTGAGATTGAGTAAGTCTTTATACTTAATTGCATGTCTGCTACTGAACAGGGAAGGCACTAGAAGGATTAGACGATTTACTGATGAACAACAATAATAAATAAGATAATTACAGTATCTATTACTACAAACTATCTGACTCAATATCATCTGAAATCAGGACGAAGTGAACATGATACAACTAGCAAGACAGAAAGCTTCTGATCAGCAAAGACAGAGGCCTGTTTGGGACATTGAAAAATATGTAGTAGGATGATTGTTTGAAGCACTTACAACTTTGACTGTTCAGAAATTGACAGGGTTTATTTTATAGTCCTTCACGTTGGATAGTGCTAGGAAAAACCCATAGCACATATGTGTTTTCATGTGAATTGGAGGAAGTTAGCATTGAGGTATTATTATACAGATTACAGATTGAGACTAACCACTGGCCTACAGATTTAGTTGATCATGTATTAAGATCTAGGTTAATTGGATAGGCATGACATCCATGTCTGATGTCAAAGAAAGGAAACAAGAAGTGTGCTCAAATATCAGTCAGATTTTTTTGCTTGAATTGTATTGTATCTATAGTAAAAGGGAAGATGGTAATTGAAAATCAATAAAATCAGATGGAAACAAAATTTGACTAGAATACTCCAAGATTTGAACTTTTTATTGTTGGTCTGACGTGTTAACTGAACATTCGGAGATCGATTTCATGGCTCCCAAAGATGATTTTTTACTTAACATTTGGGTCCATACATGAGGCAAGTAGAAGTATTTTAAGAATTTTTGACCCTAAGCAGTACCGAGGCACATTACACAGATCTATATAGGAGGTAAGTATCTTTGCTTACCTGTATGTCCACTGTTGAGCAATAAGTCAAACACGGCCATCTGGTACTGAGGAAGCAACTTGTCTTTGACTGTGTGGTTTTAACATAGATCAGTTATATAGGTCACTTGTAGTGTCAATCATTTCATGCTGTTTGAGGCAGGAGAGATAGATAACTTACCGGGTAAATACAGCATAGTGATGGAAAAACATCAGGGGTATGCTAATGTGTCTTTAAGCCCACTTTTCTGTAGTTAAAATGAGAATTAGCATGTGTAGCTGCATGTATCATTTCTGGTATTATTCTTTGACATTCTTTTATGTGTTCAAAGGTAATTTTACATAAATTTGCCGTCTTATCCAAATGGTAAATTATAAGTATTTGGTTTTGGGTTTTACCCTATTGGTTGAAGTGAGCGTTGAACCCTCTGATGGCACTGTTATATAGCAAATTAATGCAAGAAAGTATTATACATTCTAGTGAAATAATTGCTTTATAATTGCTTTAGTTCCTGTGATTCTAACAAATTGAAAGATATAGAGTGAACATATACATGGGTTCAATTATATCCATGGTGTAGGTACAAGATATTTCTGCCTGTTTGAATAAGGGTTTGAAGAATTGATGTGAAATCAATTTCATTGTAAACCTTATGTACCTACTATCTTAAAGTTAGCCCTTCCTTTGTATTTTGTGTGTATGCTGCTGAATGAAAAGAACTGTGTGACAAGATAATCAATATTTTGTGGGTAGTGACCGAAGGAGTTTTAATCCATAATTGACATTTTCTCGAATGTATACAATATCTATAAAGAAGGAATGTACTACAATAACCTATCCTTAAACTGTTAACATTGTTTTGATGTTTGTAAAGATTAGTAATTTTAGCCCGACTATGTATCTTTCATCTGTAACTTGTGATTTAATGTCTGGCCATCAGTCTGGCCATCCCTAAGTCAGTTTTTATTTCCTAATTATCTCAAAACATGACTGGATTGATCTATAATAGATTCCAACTTGGTCTATTCTTGTACATTGTCGATTTTGAAAATGATTGGAGAAATGACACTGCTGAATGGTGGATGGATTTGACAGATAGATATGCCTTTATTAATTTAGATTGTTTATAATTATTTGTTACCCTAATTTCTCAGTAACTATTAAAAAAGTGGGTGGGAATATCCTGGTTGTTATTGATTAGTAGTCCAATATGACAGGAATCTTGGATTAAGGAATACCTATAGGTACAGAGGTAATCATACAACATCAAACAATAGAACATTTCATTTCCATGGTTTATTGTGTTGTCGACCATAGGTGTTCGTTAGAGGTAATCATACAACATCAAAGAACAGAGCATCTCATTTCCGTGGTTAATCGTGTTGTTGACTTGTTTAGGCTAGTTCGGTCAGACTTGATCAGAACAACAATATTAGTATGACATGCCCCTTGGAGAAAATAACAAATCAGTCAAGTAATTATATCCATGGAATCATATCAATTGGAAAATCAGATAAAAAAAAGAACCCCCTCAGAAAGGGCTTTTTATGGATATGATAAAATTAGAAATTGAGTAAACAAATTGTTTATCACTGTTTCTTAGAGCTTGGAAGATCCTTCACAAATTTTATTTTTAAGAATTAAAAAGAACTCATTATTCTGTTGCTGGATTGGGTACAGTATTTATAGAACTTCTGTTCAGATCAAATAATTTATTCATAGTTCAAGGAAAAAGTTCAATCATGGTCTCAAATAAAGAACACTAAGTCAATAACATTATAGGATGATAAATTGTATCCTGTATAGTACATAAACTCTATATAGTTTTTAGATTGTGAAATGACAAGATTGAAAAATAATTAAGCCATGAGTCCCATCAAAGCAGTTTTTAATTGTAAAAAAGCATAAGGTATGACGTGTTAACAAAACACAAAACATTTAATTTTTTTAAGTCATTTTTCACCATATGGTTGTTGCTAAATTTTCTATCAGCATGTTTGTCCATAACTGTTGGATGATATTAACTATACAGACAAGTGGCTGTTAGTAGTTACCTTGTCTTTAATCCTTTCTAATTATGAGTGATTTCTTTACAGTTGCTGTTGGCGCCAACTCCCTACATTATAGGCGTACCTGCCAGTTTCTTACCTTACAAAAATGGTTTTAAGGTACCTGATGATGTTTGGCTGGTGGACTTAGATTCAAATAAGGTAAGGGTTTTAATATCAAATTTAGATTTTGGTTTTTTGTGTTCAATATATCAAGAATTCGCCTGCTTATTCATTTCTTTTAGAGTAAGCTAGATAAAGTTCATTTCCTATGCACAGTTCTTAAGCTGTTGGCATTTAGTTAATACTATAAATTTTGACTAGGACCAGCCCATGTTTGCTAGGATGCAGGCAGTACTTTTCTGGCAGACGATGACTGAAAACTCCCAAGACAATTTCTGATGGAGACTTTTAGGCCAAGATTTATAATAGGCTGACTTTCATTGTACACGAGGGTTACATAACGATGAATATATGACATTGCTTGTGTGCATTTTGTATAGATTACGAGTGAGTTAGGTGTTGAATATAAATCAGAAAGTGTTTTCTCACATGGAAAAATCAATGTATATGCTTTTGTTGTGGCTAAATGGCGTTATGCATGTTGAGCTTTAGTGATAGTGCGTGTTTACTAAGGTCTACCATCATGTTCAATATTTCTTAAGGTCAGTTAGAGGACAAGCATGTCATGATCTGAAGTCTTTGTGCTGTGAATGCATCAACTCACCTTATAAATTGATTAGTGGCTTATTTATTTAAAACATTTTCTTCTTTTTTCTACTTGTTTGATTTTCAATCATTGTTTGATTTTGTTAATGATGTGTATTCAATTTTACTTGCTTTTTCTTATAATATGATTTCAGATGATCATATGTGCTGTGTGTCTAACTTTGGGATGTTTTGGGATGTTTCACTCATAATTTGTTTTAAAATCTTCAATATCATCAGAACTATATTATAATGTATGGCATACTTAGATATTGATATTTTGTTTAAAACTGACAATACTATTTCATTACGAAAAGAAATCAAAATTTATCAACAGTTCAGCCACACTGTGCTTCATTTTTGAAATATATAGTAATCGAGTTGTTATTAAAAAAAATAAACTAATTATGGATGCTTTTAAAATAGGGATTTGAAAGATCGCAGCATTATTTAGGCAGAAAATTGCAGCTAGAGGGCTCTAACTCTTCGATATTTCAGCCAATGAGAAGGCCAGGATCGGTAAATTTTGTCTGAAAGGCCATCACAATAGGCTATACATACTGAGTACATTTAGCCTGAAAAAACTGCATTGTGATATAATCTGAATCAATTAATTCCCTTTCAGTGATGTTATAAATACATAATTGATAGAGCTTCATTATTTCATACAATGTAAATATAAGATAGGGTAATTACAAGGATATACCTTTTGTAAAATTCTATACAAAATAAAAAAATGACGATATGATGACTATTACCTGGCTGGTGTATGTCAATTTTGTCTGTGATGCAAGTAATGATAAGTATCCAACATTGTTGTTCTGATAGTTGGTGTGTTTATATATATACAAACTAATATTTACATGGCACATGAACCTTCTAAACACAGACATAAAATTTTTAAAATCTATGAATACTGACTGAATAGGTATATTTCATATGTATATATTTCTATGTTCAGTGCGACTATTGCTATATGGAGTGCAGTCATGCAGACAATTTTATCTATCCTGCTAGTTCAGGAATATTATCTGTGGCGTTTGTACATGTGTCGGTGCTTCCAGGGGATAGCCATATGTTAGCAGTAGATCAGATATGTCAGGATTTGCGTTGATCATGAAGTCCTGTAGGTTTACAACCACTGGACTTTAAATAGTTTATAGAAGTACAGGCAGTCTTCAAGCAATCTCTAAACAGCAACAAACCAGTAAATCCCTTGTCTGTTTTCAGTGAATGCCATATTCCTTGAAACACTGCTTTTTCCTTCATTAAGTCAATGTTATCAGAATTGCCTTTTTTTTTTTGTTGGAAACAATTGAATATTGCTTTGTCAGTGAATATTATTTTTAACACAATTATGACAGATTTTGAAAATTGTCAAAGGTATAGCTACCATGGAGATATAGTCAAGATTATTATGCTACAGTGGTAGTAATCTACTGGTGGAAACACAATGTTAAGGAGTGTCAAAGCCACCTGATGTGTCTGTGTGTTTTATAACGAATATTGTACCTTAGAGAAACAAATTATAGCCGAAAGTTGCTGAGTGATATATTTTAGTTTTGTTTGTGTTTAATTTACTGCTTTGTGTAAAACTGTGGGTGTATTGACACTTTTCGTGAAAGCCATGCTGACTGACAAAAGACACTGTTTCATTAAGAAATTGTGCATACACACTTTCAGGTACTAATGGCATTTCTTTTGGAAAGATCTTGCCTTACATAATATCTGCTTGCTAAACATGAATAAATTAAATTTTGTGCATGTCAGCATTTTCAGCCTGTAGATAAATCAACATGATGATTTTTTATTGCCACTAAAATCAATACTTTGTCAGGTGAAATTACAGACATGGGAACCTAATTAAAATCACTATTCAGACTTCACTAAAATAATCATAAATGAAAAATGAGTAACAATTAACAATTTGGTTATATAGAAGTGCTGCCTTTTGGATTGGGACGTTTGGTTCACCAGTGAAATAGTGTGGTAGAACATGACTGTATTCATTGATTTTATCTGTCTGTGGTGTAGTACTAGGTTCGGTGGTCCAGGTGATGCCAAATGTATATTTGGATAGAAACACAAAGAGGCGTTAGAAAGATTGTAGAACTGGCTATTTAGACTTCTCTCTAGTTCAAGTTTACCTGTCATAATAAATATTTTGTGACCCCCACAGATATTGTTCATCATCGATCAATGATCTTAAATAGTTTATCACAAAAGAAGGGTTCATATGCCAAAGAAATTCATCAGTGACTAGTCGAAGTTGATGGTGAGCAGCTGTGTTTAAATATGGATGCAACCTAGGAGAAAATAACCCACTCTCTCAAGTTGACCTGCTGATGCTATCACAAAGGAAATGATCAATGAAACTGCAAAGGCCTTAGTATTGAATGAGGACAGAATCTAGGCCAATGAGATAGCTAGGGAGTGTGTGATTTCCAATGGGTTTTTTTTAAAAGAATTTTTTGTATGTAATTTTTCATCAAAGGTAGAGATGGTAAGATGGGTTTCCAGGACTAAGTCCCTGCACAAACACAAGTAATGAATTGTAAGTTTGCGCTTCTCAATCACTTACATGTGTGATCTAGATATATATAAGTAAATGGCCCCTATTGTCAGAAATTAAAAATTCCATTTATGTCGAACCAGCTTGTTGCTAAACTATCATAGAGATTATCAAGTTTGTAGGTAAAAAACAGTCTGCGGTAAAATTGGTTCACTGAGGACTAAAATGGGAACTTAAGAAATCAAAGTATGGTCTGTTGCTACAATATACTTCATTCTATAAGCTTTTCAACCTCTACATGTGCATGCATATTGTTTAGTAAAGGCATTCACTATTGTTTACAACATTAACAAATACTTAATTCTGCATGTGGACTTAGATTAATCTTTAATTTGATTTGATAGAAAAGGATAACATTATGAAAAAAAATAATGATAATGAAAGAAGAAAAAAATTATTTGAATGTTCATAAACTAATGAAATATTTTGAGGTTTAAATGTTAGACTGTGATAGAGAAATTCACTTTCTAATGAGAAAAACACCAGTGATGGGATGGTGGAGGTTTTGGGATGAATTAGTAGATACAGCAGCTGTGACAGAGAAGACGGGTGACAGGGATTTAGTTACTGTATATGGTTCAGACAGGCATACATCTGTCCGTTGGGAAATTTCCGTGATGATGGGCGACAGAGCTTAAGTTTTAACAGTTGTGTTAACTGTCATATGGTTATGATGTTTCCTTGCTGTACAAGTATAATGTAAGTTTACAAGTCAAATGTTTGCGATTTCACCACCACCCTGACCTTCTGTTAAGTTTCTGTTAAGTCATATATGAAATTCGGTGACATACAATGCTTGAATTCGCTGGTGAATCACAATAATATCTTTTGAACTTGTCTGGTTGCTTCGGACACCATACTGGAAGTTTACAATAGCCTTTTGCATCCTGGGATCGATACCTGGGGTACCATATTACAAGGATGATCTCTACCCTTCTTCAATGGTATATTTATGTATATTTATATATTGTATCAATTTGGTCATTGTGATATACATATGTAGGTAACAGAGAATAATTTTCCACCAAGTTGTGATATCTACAGCTGCCCCTTAGCTTCGTAGAAAGTACATTAAAAAAAAAGATTCCAGCTGTCACCCAAAGCCCACCCCCACCCCTTATCCCCATCCCACCCCTACCCCACACCCACCCCTACCTCGTCTACATTCCTTTATTTTTAAAGAATGTTTAAAGACGGACTAAGATATGTCAAAAGCAGGTTTAAGCATGGACTGTTAATTCAGATATGTTGACTTTTTATCATCATTTCAATGTTACAACATTGATATAGCAAGACGTGACGTAAGTCCATGAAATGAGTCTAAGCGTATATAGATGACCACTTCAGACAAACCGATATTTTGTATACAAATAGAGCTCAATGTACCATGACGACAGTTGTAATATATGACCCCTGTTACATAATTACCACAGATGTTACCAGCACAGGTACACAGACCAGTGAACATCTTGCATATTACCTGTATTATAAGACCTATCAACTAAATAGAAGGACTTAATGTATGAGTATATCAAATTATGTGGTTACCCCAGGTAAGGGCAGGTCTGCAAACAAAAATGCAGGCATTTCAACCTAAACGCTAGGAAAATGGGGGAAGGTAGAAGAGAATGTCTTATTTCTTGTCTTTACTGTTGATATTTAGGTAAAGACTTTTGAGATTAATATTTTCTTCAAAATTGTCAAAAAATCCATTAATGTACAGTCATTTACCTGCAACATAGCCTTTTAGGTCTAAAGTCAATTATTATATAACAGATAAACACAGAAAAGTATATTTTCAAACACATGCTGCACAAGTCTTGCATTCATTCAGGAAAAGGTCAAATTAGACTAAGTGGATTGTTCTTTAAGAAATCAATGTTAAACGTAATTTTTTATTTGAATATTTCGATGAATGTAATATATGAGTTTTTACAAAAGTGAAGTGGATTTCAAAATGTAATTGTGCTAAAACTTTCCCTATGTATTGGGACGAATAAGTAATCTTGTAACTCATAGATATGCTTCAATAACCCAAATGAGAGACCTATTTTAATAAATAATAAATCTGTAGTTGGGAGCCAATAATAGTGTCCAGTCTTGCTAGTTATCATCATGCTATTAAACACTTAATCCTGATGATGTTGACATTGTTGCTTGTAAGTAAATCTTTGAATCCTTCCTGTTTCAGTTGTGTTTACTAGATAGTGATAATATCAATTAGGGCAGCTTAGCAGAATCTTTTATCTTTCCTAAATGCAAAGCCCCTATAACGACTCAAAATGTGTATGCTCCCTACTTTGGACTATTAATTTTTCAAGGGAAACTGTGCACATGATGCAGATTTTTACAGTTTCTAAACAAATCAGTCAAAACCTGTTGTAAAGTTTCAATGTTGTTCTGGGTTCATCATCTAATGCCAATACCAGTGGCAACCTGTTGATTTTGAACTGTCATTTGTTTCCATAGAGCATACATTTTGTGGGAATTTCTCTGATTGGATGGAAAAGATATAAAAGAGTTCAAATTGTTGTTAATCATCTTCCTATTTTCTGTAAAAGTCTTTGTTTCCCATGTGTTGTTAATCATCTTCCTATTTTCTGTAAAAGTCTTTGTTTCCCATGTGTTGTTAATCATCTTCCTATTTTCTGTAAAAGTCTTTGTTTCCCATGTGTTGTTAATCATCTTCCTATTTTCTGTAAAAGTCTTTGTTTCCCATGTGTTGTTAATCATCTTCCTATTTTCTGTAAAAGTCTCTTCCTATTTTCTGTAAAAGTCTTTGTTTCCCATGTGTTGTTAATCATCTTCCTATTTTCTGTAAAAGTCTTTGTTTCCCATGTGTTGTTAATCATCTTCCTATTTTCTGTAAAAGTCTTTGTTTCCCATGTGTTGTTAATCCTTCCTATGTGTTGTTATGTGTTGTTAATCATCTTCCTATTTTCTGTTAATCATCTTCCTATGTGTTGTTAAAGGGTGTTGTTAATCATCTTCCTATTTTCTGGGGGGGGTTATATTTTGTATATTTTTTTCTGCACAGGTTTAACAGTTTGAAGTCCATTTCCATCAGTGACATTTTCTGTGTGGTTCATTGTCTTCTGTAACTTAATATCAGCCTAGGACTATTTCCACACGAAGGTTTTGTCTGTGGGCAGTGGGATGGCTGTAATGCTATATATACAATACCTCCTGACTTTTGATATTATATATTCCTGCTGAAATATGATGATGAACCTTTTATACTTGCTATCATATACATTGTATTTTGCAATACAACCTTATAATAAGCATGTGATGTGTTCTGTTTGCCTTTGGCTCAAAATTTTGTGCAATTTTATGTTGTGTTCCCATGACGACAGGGTCAAGTAAAATGTTAAGTACATGGTATTCATATTACTGGAAGTTTTCATGAATCATAGGTGTGCCTCAGAAGGTTTTAATGATGATATCTCTGGTAAGCAGACAGGGTCTGCTACAAGAATTGTATGATGGACAATTTAGCTCAATGAAACTGCAAATTGGTTGTCATGACAACACTGCCATGTCACCTCAGGCTTGGATAGCACTATAATGATACAAAACAGAATAAGCTTTATGTTGAATCAAATTTGCAATTATGATAATATTTTTAGATCATATATCCTGAACATTATGAGTATCACATATTGAGCACTGGATATATTTAGCTGCTGTCTCTTCTCATTGTGTAGGTCCATAGGTTCAAAATATTAAACATAGATGAGAGAGAATCAAACAGAATTGGACCAGAATTGATCAGTTGTAGTTTTTAGATTCTGTAATTTGCTGGTGGATCATGTTTAGAGAGATTTAATGTTATTTACAATCTACATGTTTGGCCTGCTTCTCATCTGTCATCAGGACAGGCATGTTGGGCCACCCAATATATATAATATTCTTGGAATATTAACAGACCAGAATCACCGTTTTTTTTTTTACAAATCTTCATATACATACCAATCATGTTGCATATACACACTGATGTACTGGTGGAGCTAGAGATTTATCAAAATATTAATGGAATTTATTTTCATAAGTTATATGGTATTAATCATTTCGACTAAATTTATAAATTGAAATGTATTAAAGATTGCATATTCATCTATCTATAGGTTCAAGTTTAAATGTTGATACTAAGTGCAATATTCACAAAGTGCTGCACCCTGATTGATGATCAGAAGGGAGGATGAATTAATAAAACTAGAGTGTTGACCAAAAGAAAAATGTCAGGTTAGGGAGAATAGTTTGAGCCTTGTACAAACAGGTCATAGAACCAATTAATTCACATCTGTCCATTATTTGAACAGTGTAAGATTTATTCTGGTCATATATCATCTCATTAGCAGTTTTGCAATATATGATCATATAATGACGTGTTTGTTCTGTGTCACAATAGTGTATATATTTAGGTTCTTCATACTGATGAATTCACTTTTTGTCACAGATTTTAGTATGGCAATCAGTGTCCTCCAGTAATTGATTTCCTTGATGTGTTTACGAGTAAAATCAGCTCTTAATGAGATCTGCAGTCATCACTGTTTAGTGACAATCCCAATAGACAATCAGGTATCTTCCTTTTGTAGGAAAATAGATAAAATATCACACTCACATGGAACTGATCGAAAATGTTAATTGTCCTTTGTAGTCATGTAATACATACTGTTCTTTTGATGATGATGTTTTAATATTGATGAGTATTATTGACCAAATTTCCGAGTATTAATACTTTGGTACAAAGTTTTGTGCAAAGCTATGCTACCCTGGGTCTTGGCCCCCAGGAGTGGGAAGGATGGGGTCCAATAGAGGAAATAGAGCAAATTCTTTAAAATCCTACCCTTCCTGAAGGAATGACTGGATTTTGTCATAATTTGGTCTGAAGCATTCTTTGGTGAAGGGGAATCAATTTTGTATAATTAAAGGGTCTAAAACCCTTGGGAAGGAGGGGCAGGACCAAAAAGGGAAATGGAGCAAATTCTTTAAAATGCTTCTCCTCCTGTAGGAATGATTTGATTTTGCCCAAATTTTGTCCAAAGCATTCTTTGATGAAGAGAAATTATGTATAGATAGTGGGTCCTTTTCCCCTCTTGGGAAAGAGGGATGAGGCCCAGGAGGGAAAGTTAGAAAAAAAACTCTTTGAAATCCTTGTTCTTCTGTAAGAATGCCTGATTGTTTTCCCAATTTGGTCTGAAGCATGCTTGGATGACGGGGAATTAATTTTGTGTAAATGATAGGTCTTGGCCCTAAGCAGCAGGGCGGAATATTGGAAATTGAGAAAGTTCTCTTAAATTCTTCTTTTACACAAGAATATTGTCCATGTTTCGTCTGGAGCAATTTTTATGAATGATGAATCTGACTTCTATTTGACCATAAAGCTGGAACCTAATAGGGAAATTATTTCAGAAATTATATGTTATATTTATAGAATGAAGTATCATTTTGATAAATTGTGATGGAAACATTGAAACAAAGGATGTTCTTTGTAAATATGATAATAAAAAAACTGTTTTGCTGCAGATGACAATGGGAAGGCTTGAAGACATCCCAGCATTTCCTGAGCCAGAAGGCACCATGCTGAAAAACCATCTCAGACAGGTGAGTGTTGTTGTAATAGTCTCCTTCCGTGTTCTTAAGTATGATCCTTAAAACATGGCTGTGTGATGTGTGTGTAATGAGTAGAAGGGATATTCACTCTGATCAAATTTTCATAATTAATATCTTTTAATTCGATAACTGTTTTAAGATCATTTACATACATGAAAGGTAAATTGTAAAAGGCATTTCTGTGTTGTTTGTTATGATGTTATTTTGAACAATTAAGTCTGTTTAAGTCAAATTAATTCTTCATGGTGTTATTTATTAACATAGCCCTTGTCATGTATGACTTGTGAATCATGTGATTTAGTCAGTATAAAAGTTTCATGATATGATTTAAAGATGAAGCACATGATCTGCTCATGATATCATATATAATTGACCATCTTTGATCATCCATTATGTACATGACATTTCGGGTAGCAGTACAGATGACTGACTTTATCTACATTACAGTCACGTTGATGCTTTTGATGTTTTGAACAGATTAACTGGTATGAGCCATTAATTTGAAAGCATTCAGACAAGATGAATTGTATCCAAACAACGATGAATAAGTGTTTTCAGAGATGACTTCCGATACATATGTGTTATATAAATGAGGGTGGTCTGACAAATTAACTCAACGTTTTGCCTTCATTCTTGTCAATTATAGCTGCATGTCCTGTTTACTAATTACTGATTTCTATAAGGCAGATTCATGGTCACGTAATATCCAGCTGTAATTCTCAGTCTTTATGAGTACAATAGTCATTAAATTTTTAATATAATTCTATCTTTGTTAACAATCAGTATTTTTTGCTTGTAAACACAACCAGTTAAACTGCCTCATCATCAATATCTTCCAGTAAAATTGCCACATAACCAGAATAGCAGCTTTTGATCCTTTTATAATATTTCACAAAAATTCTTATTGGGATGAATATAGCCTGTGCTTTTAGAATTTGAATGGCGTGTAGGAATATTAAAAGAAAAAATAACTTGTTTATGTTACATGATCAACCTGGTGTTTTCGAAATCACAATGAATCGAGCATGACAGCTCTGGGAATAACACAAAACAAAATAAAAACTGTATTTCAGACTTAGTTGACTGTACGATTTCAATTTGAAAGTGCATATTTGAGGTGATGTTTTAAAACAATGCTGTTGTTTTGTGACACTGCAAAACAGTGCTGTTGTTTTGTGACACTGTGAAATAGTACTATTATTTTGAAGGCTTAACATGTGTTTGACATGTATCAATAAACAAACGTAAAACAATTACCCAAATACAAACGTTAACATTCGTAAACGTACACAATGCATGTATTATTCATGGAACCTTTGTCTTTCAGATAAATTTATGAAACTGTAAATACATGTTCTTTCATTTCTGGAATAAACTGCCCTAATAATCTTTATATGAAATGTATATTGATTTAGTGCCAGGTGATCTTCTGTTGTGTGTGTATGTTACAGTTTAAATCTGTATTTGGTTAAAAATAGTAAGGACATGTATACAGAGTGCTGGATATCTGAGGATATAGACAAAGTAAAAAAAAAGAAAAATCACTTAACACTTACAATTGTATGTGATTTCCAGAATCTCTTGTCTTGACATGATGAAGAAGCAACATGAAGCAAACAGTGTTCTAAAAACCTTACATATAGTCATACAGACTAGTCAGTAGGAAGATAGAACTCAGCAAAAATCAAATAGTTATCTGTCTGATACAAAATAACTAGAATTCATATAGATATGGAGTGAGTAGTAACAAAGTCTAGCTGGGAGAATCTCTGATGTTAAAAATCTGCTGTACTGGTGACAGCTGGTCTTGACACTAACTCAGAACCATGATAGGGGCTATATTAAATCATCATTATCATCTATAATAAATCATACCTGTATGTTTGGGTACTAGGACAGAAATCTAATGTAGAACATGGAAGATAAACTCTAACATTAACCAACTTGCTCTTGACACTGCTAATTTGTCTTTTGTGATTTCCAAATAGCTACAAGTTTTGCAGCAATTAACTTCGTAAAACAAATTATATTATGCTATTCTTTTGTCAGTGTTTTTCATCTGACTAACTTTGCAACTATTAAATTAAAGAATTTAATTTTGTCCGTTAAAGAAATGTGTGCCTTTACCCAACTTTTACAGTATACTAGCAGTGGTCAGAGTGTTTGAACTTAGTGTTGAATTCCAGTCAGGTATTACATACTTATATAGATGGCTTTGATCTTAAGTGAGATTTCCTTTCGTATGAGATTCTGTTAAATAGTTCCTTCAAGATTTAATTTCTGCAAGCCTTATTGAGGAAAACTTTAAACTTTGAGGTTCATAGCTATATCTGGTCAAGTTATTGAATAAAGCTGTACATGTATATCTGCATGGTTGCAAGAAAGTTCACTATGATGAAATCATTCTGAGGTCTTCCTGGTACATAAACTCCTGAAACTTGTAGATCTTTATGGAAATAATAATCATGAGAAGCCTTAATCTTTATGCTGCTGTCTTGAAGGAACTGATGTACACACCACCTGCGTTATGACATTTCAGGGAAGAGAAGGAAGTGGGAGTGTAGAATATATTATGAAATATTTACATTTTCTGATTGTGTTCTGTGTTTGGCCTCGTCAACAAAATTGATGTTTACACTTTGGTAAACATTCAGTTTGACAACCTTTCCTACCAGATTGGAAGTAGCTACTTTGCTATTCCATCATTTGTCAGGCTGCTCTGTAAATGTGCATGTAACAGGTCCAATGAATGATGATTATTATTTTATTACAAAACATAATTTTTGTTTAAAAAGCTGTCAAGATGCATTTCTTACAGTTATTTCAACATATGGCACCAAAACATGTTCATTTAAATATTATTAAAAATTGTAGTTTATACACCAGTAAACAAGAAGAAAGAAAAATGTTCTTTCTTAAATAATAAAAAATGCAAAAAAAAAAAAAAAAAAAAACCAGGCCCCTTAAAATGGAAGAGGTTAGTAACACATAATAGACTGATACACATCATGTGGATGTGTATTTCAGGAGTTATTTGCTTACAGTCACTCCTTATGACATGCATGGTTACTTTTGTGTTTTTGTGTGAGTATCTCTGGCCAATAACTCGGTAGTTATGTCCCTCCTGTATTTAGTGTGACATCTGAAATCTTGTTATACCGCTGTAAAGAAGCTTGAAAATATCTGACATACATAGAAGGATTCGAAAGCTTTTACTACTGTAATCATTGATTTTCCTTATACTGTACATGATTGCTAAGGGATCAAAATGTCATTTACATGTTCAGTGTATTAAGGTCTTTTTAAATTTTGTAGATGATTTATATCATAATGAAAATCAAGATTAGACTTAGGCTGAGGTTATTGATAGAATGGTTTGTAAGCCTCAGTAATTTATTTAGGAGTCAATTTGAATAACATCCTTCTGAATTACTTCTCAAGCATGCTGGTACTTGTTCATACAGCTGACTAGACAGACACAACTAGAGTATCTAGTATGAATCAGGCCTTTATTTTCTGGTCATTTTGCTAGCATTATGACACTGAACCCTACCTCATACAGAGTTTACAAACCAAACTTCTCCAATTAAAATGTTGAGTTATCTTTTCATCAAAATCTATTTTCTACCTATCTGGCATGTTTATTTTACCATTTTCTGAAAACATTTCAGAATATGAACACTATGGGTCATGCATTTTGGCCAAAGAGATTTCTTGCCATGTAAGCAATTAACCCAGTAAATTGCAGTAAATCCTGAGATCTGGATGATTTTCCTCTGATTTATCATGCTATTAGATAGAATACTGGTATGCTGGTTACTTTTCAGGCTTTAGCAAGTATGAGTATGACACCACAACCAATCAAAAACCTGGATGCCCTTGCTCAGAATCCAGACACCATGAAAAGACGGGAAAGTTTCTCATCGCAAACGGGGTTCAACCCACTGATTTATGGAAATGATGTCGATTCTGTTGATGTGGCTACACGTGTGGCAATGGTAGGTATAGCCTTAAAAGGTGTTGAAAAAACTTAACTGAAGACAGAAGTATGGATATAATTTTGTTAATTTCAAATACTCTTTTTTAATTGATATTTTTGCTGCATTTCAACACCTATTTGTAATTGATGATATAAAGATAAAGATTCTATTCCATCTTACAGTTTTCCAAACTATAAATTCATTGTGAATAGTTTTTTTAATCTTTAAATAACTTAATTGTCACTTTATTTGGCTAGTGCGATGTATATTTGTCACACTTGATAGATGTATACTATTAACATTAGTTGACTTTTGCTGTGGGCAACAGAGATCAAATGATGCTCAACCAAAGGCAAAGAAAGCTTTTACTATATACATGTAGTAATTTTGTAATAGAGAGGTAAATTTTAAGGAACTTGGTAACATAAAACAATGTAAATTACCCTTAAGTTGTAGATGACACACAAGTTGTAAGATGGTGGATGTAGTTATATAATCAACTTAGAATCAGACAGGGAATTTTGGTTCTTTGAATTTACCTTAAACCATACTTGCTTTTTTGTAATTTATATTCAGTGGATGTAGTCAGATTCAAAAATGTTGATTTGGAAATCACCAATGTTCAAAATTAACATGACTTATTTTGATTTAAAATTAGATCCTTAACATACTTTAGAATTGTAAGTGAATTAACAATTTTGGTTCAGAATATAGTAGATATTATTAATAGAATGATGGAGAATTTGCTGTAAGTAAATATTAATAGTATGATGGAGAATTTGCGGTAAGTAAATATTAATAGTATGATGGAGAATTTGCGGTAAGTAAATATTAATAGTATGATGAAGAATTTGGTTTAAAATCAATTGCTTGCTAGTGAATTTAATTTGTTGACACCTTAGCTAAGGGCAAGAATCAATATTACAGTGAGAATGCAGGTCAGTAGTGGTTATAATGGATTCAGTATAGCAAGGTATTGATTACAACAGCTATGTAAATAAAACAGGCAGGTCTGCAGTATGTGTGTGTTTTCTCAATCACAATTCTGATCTTCTCAAACATCAATAACAGGCAGACAGAATCTAGAAATGGAAGTGAAGGGACCCAGGAAATTAAATCTTTCTTGATAGAAGCAAATGCTAGATGCATTGAAATACACACAGGACTGATTACAGTCTTTTTTAATACAAACTAATACTCAGCAATGAGGACACAAGAAAGCATTTCAGAGTACAAATAAACAAAAGTGCGAGAAACGTAATAACTTTCCTGAATCAATAAGCGGGACTCGTGAAAACTTCTTGTGATACACAAGTCTTTAACATAAAAAAGACAAAAGAAAACTGAAATGTTAACACTCTAACACAGACAAGACTGATGAAAACTGAAATGTTTACACTCTAACACAGACAAGACTGATGAAAACTGAAATGTTTACACTCTTACACAGACAAGACTGATGAAAACTGAAATGTTTACACTCTAACACAGACAAGACTGATGAAAACTGAAATGTTTACACTCTAACACAGACAAGACTGATGAAAACTGAAATGTTTACACTCTAACACAGACAAGACTGATGAAAACTGAAATGTTAACACTCTAACACAGACAAGACTGATGAAAACTGAAATGTTTACACTCTAACACAGACAAGACTGATGAAAACTGAAATGTTTACACTCTAACACAGACAAGACTGATGAAAACTGAAATGTTAACACTCTAACACAGACAAGACTGATGAAAACTGAAATGTTTACACTCTAACACAGACAAGACTGATGAAAACTGAAATGTTAACACTCTAACACAGACAAGACTGATGAAAACTAAAATGTTAACACTCTAACACAGACAAGACTGATGAAAACTGAAATGTTAACACTCTAACACAGACAAGACTGATGAAAACTAAAATGTTAACACTCTAACACAGACAAGACTGATGAAAACTGAAATGTTTACACTCTTACACATACAAGACAATGAGAACTAAAATGTTTACACTCTAACACAGACAGTACCAATTAAAACTGAAATTTTTATGCTTTATTATAGACAGGACCAATCGAAACCTTTCTTGATACATTTGTCCTGAACATGGACAGGGCCAATAGGAACCATTCATGTTACACTTGTCCTGAATATGGACAGGACCAATAGGAACCTTTCATGATACACTTGTCCTGAATATGGACAGGACCAAGGGGAACCTTTAATGATACAATTGTCCTGAACATAGACAGGACAAATGCAAACCTTTCATGATACACTTGTCCTCAACATGGACAGGACCAATAGGAACCTTTCATGATACACTTGTCCTCAACATGGACAGGGGCAATGGAAATCTTTCATGATACACTCGTCCTGAACATAGACAGGACAAATGGAAACCTTTCATGATACACTTGTCCTCAACATGGACAGGACCAATAGGAACCTTTCATGTTACACTTGTCCTCAACATGGACAGGACCAATGGAAATCTTTCATGATACACTCGTCCTGAACATAGACAGGACAAATGGAAACTTTTCATGATATACTTGTCCTGAACATGGACAGGACCAATAGAAACCTTTCATTATACACTTGTCCTGAACATTGACAGGACCAATGGAAACCTTTCATGATACACTTGGCCTGAACATAGACTGGGCCAGTGGAAACCTTTCATGATACACTTGTCCTGAACATAGACTGGGCCAATGAAAACCTTTCATGAAACACTTGTCCTAAATATGGACAGGGCCAATGGAAACCTTTCATGATACACTTGTCCTGAACATTGACAGGACCAATGGGAACCTTTCATGATACACTTGTCCTGAACATAGACTGGGCCATTGGGAACCTTTCATGATACACTTGTCCTTAACATAGTCATGGCCAATTTAAACTATTTACGCTTCACACATACAGGATCAATTAGAACTTCATGTGCTATAACAAGTACAGGACAAATAAATCTTTTCTAATACACTTGGACACTGACATGACCAATGAAATCTTTTCTAATACACTTGGACACTGACATGACCAATGAAATCTTTTCTGATACACTTGGACACTGACATGACCAATGAAATCTTTTCTGATACAATTGTACTCGGACATAACCAATGAAAACTTCATACACTTGGACAAAAACAGGATCAATTACACTTTGCACACAGAAAGGACCAATGAAAACTTCCTACACTTTTAACATAGATAGGACCAATGATAAAATCTCTGATAAAGTTGAACACAAACAGGATCAATAAAATTTTGTTGATATGCTCAAACATGGATATGGAGTCCATGAAAATCTTGTACACAGGCAGGCATAGAAAGGACCAATGGAAACCTCTCCTGATGCACTCAAACATGTAGATATTATTACCATTAATGAAACCCTATCCTGATACATCAGCTTACACAAGACTAATGAGATCTTTCCTCATAGATAAAACACAGACAGGACCAATAAACATTTTTTGATATATAAAGAACCTCTGAAAACCATTCTCTGATATGAAAAGCACTGATAAACACAAACATACCGAGGTACCACCTCTATAACTGTACATATAGCTCTCCATGCCATTGCCATTGTACATAAGTCAAGAATTCTTTACATTATTATAGAGTTATGAATTTCTGAAGTAAAATAAAAAATACTTTTACTATCATATACGAGGAAATAAATGTTCAGTACGTATAAAGTTTCCGTTTGGATCTTTATTATTATTGAAAAACTTTATTTTATGTAACTGTAATAGTTGTGTGGGTACATATATATAATTCTAATTATAGGTTAAGTCACTCATTAAGTCTAATAAAGGTGGAACACATCCATCAACCAGGCACTATTTCCACATTGTATCATCACTTAATGGTAGGCAGGTGGTTAATACTGGTTTATAGGCCTTTTATAACTTTCCTTATGTTTTGACATTTTGTATGTGTCTCGCTTGTGGCAAATGTTACTTGTTCTTTTTGGAATTACTAGGTAGATTGAATTTGGAACTCTTTTTGTAAAGGAGTAGGTTTTTAGTAGATTGTACTGTATGTAATGCCTTCTTACTTACATGTACATTTTTTTAAATACTTCTTTATGCTTGTTTCAGATAAGGTTCTTCAATTCTTCAAACACACTTGGAAATTTCACAGAACACACAAGGACGCTGCGACTTTACCCTCGACCAGTGGTGGCCTTTCAGATGTACAGCTTCTTAAAGTCACGACCGTCACGCACACACTTTACTGCTAGACTGGCACGCACACAGGTAATATTAATAAAAGATGTATGTTTTTAACACACTTGATCTTCAGTTTGTAAACTAATTTATGCAGGATCTGGTTTCATTTCAAAAACTTTCCAATGGAAAACAACATTTATAATCATCAGTCAATTTTGACATTCCTGTGGTTGCTATCAAGACATAACTACATGAGTTTTAATTATCAATTCGTAATATTAGCCAAACATTTTTAAAAGTCTAGACCAAACAAAATGTGTGATCCTATTGCACAGTTTTATGTACAATACTGTATGGTGCATTTGTGTGTACAATATGCATTTGTTGGAATTTGTGCATTACCACAACTGTACATAATTTTACCTGTAAAGCAGAGTTATTTTACATCCTAAAACACAATTCTCTACTTGTGATTTCATTACCGTGGTAATCTACTGATAAATTCTCAGCATCAATTTAAGTCCTTCACACTTGATATCTGTCAATAAACACTTGATATCAGTCAATAATCTTTTATTTCCAGGCTGTTGAGTACTATGCAGAATGGTCACTTTGCCCTAAGAATGTGGTATTCCTTCGAGTACAAACATCAGTATTTGACCCTCTGCTGATAGGGGACAAGCCAAAATGGTACGCACACCAGTTACAGAGCTTGGAATTTAAAGTCTATGATGACAACTCCTCACTTGGTGCAGCTGTCACCTCCTCCATGGACATTGTCAGCGATGACAACCCTACAGGTAATGGTGTTGTAAAGTGATGACAAAATAACAAACTCTACAGTATACAATAACTTGCTTTGCTGTGTCGTTGTTGTGAACTTAAACCTTTTTATTGGCAATTAAGTGGGATCTGAACAATTAGGGAAAGATTGAGTTGCCAAACACTCCCTTTGTGGTTATTAACTGGAAAACCTTGCCCCTCAGTTGAGATGTTTGCTTGTTGATAGTGTTGGTAGATATTATGTTTTGTTAGATGACTGATGAACTGGAAAACCTTGCCCCTCAGTTGAGATGTTTGCTTGATAGTGTTTGTAGATATTCTGTTTTGTTAGAGGACTGATGAACTACTTTATATTTTGATAGATGAGAGTGGCAGTGACAGTGATGGAGCCGAGAGTACCAGTTCGTCTTATTCTTCACTCAGTGATTTTGTCACAGACATGGTGAACAGTGAAATAGATGGAGAGCCACCTTGTATGTATCACTTGCTAATGTTATATATCACTATTATTGTAACATCATAAAGGTAAAGCTAAAGCATGTCTACGTAAAGTTCAGTATAATCACAGGATTTGTGTGGTAGTCAGAAATATCATCTAACCTTTATTGTGAATAATAACATTCTTTCAATGGGAGATTTCATAAATTTCAGAAAATTGATGAATTGAAATTATGGTGTTCAAAATTGATTGAGCATACAAAATAGAAAAAGGGTTTCTGTTGCTGTAACTGTCCATTTCATGAAAAGAAACCAGGATTTCTGTAGTATTTTGTAAGTTTAAATATGGATCTATTTGAAATACATTACTGATAAAATAATGTAGACATATTTTGAGTCTCAATTTTATGAGATGATGTCCTGTTTTCAGGTTTTGTACCAGAAAATCAAGTGTTGTCCGTTGATGAATCCAAGGTTTACACACCTCCGAACAAGCTTCACCTACCAGACACTCCAGTAACCACTAGTGATTCAGCATTTTCCATGCAGGAAAGTGACCTGAGCAGCTCAGAATCCTCCAGTCCCACTTACAGCAGGGAGATCCCTGGGTCAGAGCGAATCTCTCACGTGCTCGATAATGGGGTCAGTCATAGTTCAGAACGGATCACACAGGTTGACAACAAGGTCAGTCAGTTAGACTTTCAAGGCAAAGATGACAAACTAATCGTGTTTAGAGGAATTAAATGCCGTGGCATTTATTTTTAGATTGAGAACACTGTTTGAGACTGTATTGTCAAATGATTATTCTGTGATTGCTAAGGAAATGTGGTCACTAAAATATCCCACGACGTGTAGTTTAAAAAAGAAATATCATTTGATGCATTATTCCAAAGAATTGTTGTGGGTACTGATTTACTTAGTAAATAACATTTATCCTAAATATGTCATGTATTGTTTTACAGGTTGCTCAAGATCTGTTCAAGTATGACTCGGGGAATGTGACCCCTACCAGCAGATATATGACCAGGTATGTGATTTTCCTTGGTCCCAACAGTATTAGTGACCAGTGACGAAAAGTTTGTCATGGTGAATAGCTTGTCTGACACAAATTGTTGGGATTGCTGCCATCAAAGTTGTCACTGAACAACATATATCTCAAGAATTGTAGGGTAGGGTTATGGCATTTTGTCAACTGATATTTGTGATACAGCCTAAAAATATTGCAAAACAATATTTTGCTTTTGAAGTTCCATGGCCATTTCACCACTAGATGTTTCTACTATCTATTAGTAGAGAGGTTTGAGAATCTAAGAAAAAAGTTAAGACACTAGATCAATATTAGATTTGTAAGGATGTATAACATCATAGATATCTTGCTAACACCTGCTATTGCTGTCTTTCTCTGCCCAGTCCAAGTGACAGCTGGTAGACTTATTGAGTCTAGAAACTTTCAGTCATAACTTTCAGGGCTGTGAATATTGATGTAAACACTAATCTTGTATTTTTTGGGTACTTCAGTCGTTCAGAGAGTGTAGGATCAGCCAACAGTACACCAGAGTTACCAAAGCGACCGCCATTGCAGCCCCTCTCTCGTAGCATCAATTCTGCATTTGAAGCATATGAGAAAGCACCTGCATACCGATCCCTGGACAAGAACAATCCAGCATCAGGGGTGGAGGGTAAGAGTGCACCTAATGGAGGATCTCGGCCTCGCCTTCCCAGTGTCCCAGGGCAGCAGTCAAGACATCTTAGTCCTGGCTTTAAGGTATAGTACCTAGCTAGATTAGTTAATTAGTTTGTATCATACTTAGAAGCCTCAGGCATAGACATAATTACTTCTATACACAGAGATCACATTTTTAGAAATAAATAGACATTAATTGTACAAAATAAACAAAGAGTATTTTTTTAAACATAGTTAAGGTCAGCTTTTTGAGACATGAAAACAATTTGTAGGTAGCATTATATCTGGATAATTTTGATTTCTTGCTACAAGGGATAATTTTGATTTCTTGCTACAAGGGATAATTTTGATTTCTTGCTACAAGGGATAATTTTGATTTCTTGCTACAAGGGATAATTTTGATTTCTTGCTACAAGGGATAATTTTGAACTCTTGCTACAAGGGATAATTTTGAACTCTTGCTACAAGGGATAATTTTGATTTTTTGCTACAAGGGATAATTTTGATTTCTTGCTACAAGGGATAATTTTGAACTCTTGCTACAAGGGATAATTTTGATTTCTTGCTACAAGGGATAATTTTGATTTCTTGCTACAAGGGATAATTTTGATTTCTTGCTACAAGGGATAATTTTGATTACTTGCCACAAGGGATAATTTTGATTTCTTGCTACAAGGGATAATTTTGAACTCTTGCTACAAGGGATAATTTTGATTTCTTGCTACAAGGGATAATTTTGAACTCTTGCTACAAGGGATAATTTTGATTTCTTGCTACAAGGGATAATTTTGATTTCTTGCTACAAGGGATAATTTTAGACTTAAGGTAGATTGATATCTATATAATTATCATTCACAGACAATACCTACAGACAAAGACAACCAATCAGATCGTGCCTCCACACCTTCTTCTCTGATCTCAACTATTAGTAACGAGCTCAACGACATGGCACAATCTGCCTCCAACACTATGTCCGAACTCTTTGGTAAGTGAAAACATAAAAACACATGACTGGTTTAAATTGTAAGCTGTTGTGTACTGATTTGCAGTAGATGTGTGTGATGTTTACATTGTATGAATACCATTATGTCTTATATATTGTCTTCATATTTAGATTTCTGTTGATTATCCCTCTTTATCGTCTTAAAGTTCCAATAATTTCCATATGTTAATCATAATTCAGTAATAATATTATCCTACAACACAATATTTCTGTTGATGATTTACTAACACTATTTGGCACTGAATATTGCTTCATTACACAAATTTAATGTAGAATTCTTCTGTATCTGAATATTCTAACCCACTTTAGAGACACTGGAGTTATAAAAATAACATAGAAATTTTGTTTAAGGATTTGTTTGTAGCATTGTATTAATTTCTGTTGATTGCAGAATCAGAACAAGAAGGTAACATATACTATATGTTAATGATACTAATGATCAAATCAGGAAGGAAAAAAATGTCATAGAAACAGAAATATACAACACAATTGTGAACATTATGATCATAGATTGGAACATGTAGTGGGTTACAGTGCCAAATTACTATAAAGTGAAAGCTCCGAGGTGAACATTATGATCATAGATTGGAACATGTAGTGGGTTACAGTGCCAAATTACTATAAAGTGAAAGCTCCGAGGTATTGCTACTTTACAACACAATTCTGAACATTATGATCATAGATTGGAACATGTAGTGGGTTACAGTGCCAAATTACTATAAAGTGAAAGCTCTTAGGTATTGCTACTTTGCCAGACAGTGGGATCACAGGTGCTTGATGAGGGTAGGGTACTGAATGTGTTGGTAGGTATTACCACTTAAAGCCAGACAATAGGAACACAGGTGTTTGATGAGGGTAGGGTACTGAATGTGTTGGTAGGTATTACCACTTAAAGCCAGACAATAGGAACACAGGTGTTTGATGAGGGTAGGGTACTGAATGTGTTGGTAGGTATTACCACTTAAAGCCAGACAATAGGAACACAGGTGTTTGATGAGGGTAGGGTACTGAATGTGTTGGTAGGTATTACCACTTAAAGCCAGACAATAGGAACACAGGTGTTTGATGAGGGTAGGGTACTGAGTGTGTTGGTAGGTATTACCACTTAAAGCCAGACAATAGGAACACAGGTGTTTGATGAGGGTAGGGAGCTGAGTGTGTTGGTAGGTATTATTGCTTAAAGCCAGACAATAGGAACACAGGTGCTTGATGAGGGTAGGGTACTGAGTGTGTTGGTAGGTATTACTGCTTAAAGCCAGACAATAGGAACACAGGTGCTTAATGAGGGTGGGGTACTGAGTGTGTTGGTAGGTATTACTGCTTAAAGCCAGCCAATAGAAACACAGGTGCTTAATGAGGGTAGGGTACCGAGTGTTGGTAGATATTGTATTTTAACCAGACACTGGGAATACAGGTGCTTGATGAGGGTAAAATACTGAGTGGTTTTGTAGGTATTACTATACAGTATGTGAATTTGGGAACACAGGTGCTTGATAAGGGAAGGATACTGAGTGTGTTGGCAGGCAGTACAATTAATGTTCAACAGTATCACCACTGATCCAGACAAAAGGAACACAGTTGCTTGAGGCTTGAGTGGTACTGAGAATGTTGCAGAATTTGCATGCCTCGTGCATGTATCAATGTTTAACATGTGAAATCTGGTCATATGAATAGTATCATTATGGATGTATTTTGTGATTCTATGATGAAGTCATCCCAAACTGTCCCAGGATATATAAAGTTTATGATGGTGAATTTGTGAATATTTGTATATGTTCCTAAACCAGAGGCATGTTTTGCTTGTTGATAGTGTTGGATTCTGATGATGAGCGAGAGATCGAACAGAGATCTGACCCGGGTATACTTTGTACCACATCTAGGGATTCAGGCATTCATTCCTTTGGGAAAATGTTTCATATATTTTCAAACAATTTTTTTCTCCCAAACATCTGCCAATATATGGTTGTCCAAGCTGTCTTTGTGTGTTATTTTATACTGCTTGGCCCATTTGAAACCTTATCAGTTATTTGTCAGCTGAACTCAAATGCCATGTGGTACCCTCTTAATAAATGACTTGTAAGCGATGAGGCTTTGAACACTGGGCCCTGTTGGTAAAAAATAACTATCAATTTATTATCCAACTTCTGTAATCTTATTGGCCAAGGTTTAAACCGGTATGATGCAGGTAGCTTTTTTCACAATTGTTCTGTTATTTCATTTTCGAAATTATCACTCATTAAAGGGCCAATTTGTCAACCACAGTATTTCAAAATATTATGGTGTCCCTAAGATATCTCTTATTAACTGCATGATAAGCTCCAATGTCTTTGTTTGAAAATAGACCTTATTGATATATGGCCATTATTTTATATACCTGATACCGAGCAGGGCGATCCTTGTACAGTATCAAATATTCATGCATGAAGCCCATCAGTTTACCATTTCAAAGGTTTCCAGTAAAATAAAGATTTGAAAGAAAAGTTTGATACATTTTGTTTAAAGAAAACATTAACTATTCTACATTACTTCTATAATGACATTTGTTTAAATATTGATTATTTTAAAATTCACACTTTTAAAACTATTTTGTTGTCCTGGGTTTGCTGTCAGTCATTCCAGGATTTTCACTTTATAGATATTATGGTTTTAATTACATCAGTGTTTGTTGTTAATATTTAATATATACTTCTGTTGGGAAAAAGCAGTGAAGATTCTAGTAATAAGACATTGATATGTATAGTTTGTACCCTTGAGTGTGTTTACCACACTTCAATTATGGCTTTATATCATCATCCTATTTGGACTGATGTCTTAAATAGGTTTTATTGGTAAGCTCTTTACTATTGGAGATAGCTGTAACTTGCAGTAGTCATATATAGGAAATCCTTTGAAATGGTCCAATATGTTAGTAGCATGCACCTGGTTTACTCCTTGGTATGTGGTTGGTAATGGCATGATTTCCTTGTGTGGTGATTTTAAAATGTTCTTTTAAGATCTCATTATAATGAAATGTTTTGGTGAATATTGAAATAGTTTACTCTCTGTTGTGGAATATTGATATTAAGTAAATCTCTAAAGGATGATCATAATATATGTAATCTACATTGTTTATTTTTTGTTAATTGTTCTGTCCTTGAACATTCCCTACAGAATAAAACCTTTCTGTGGTTATTAAAATAATGTGAATCCTCACAGAGAGAGGGTTGTTGTATGACTTGTGTATTTGTGAAATAAACGTTACTGTTTTATATTTTCAGGCTCAACTAGAAGTCCACAATCTCACAGTCAGAAACCTACCAAACCATTTGCTCCTCTAGGTAAATATATGTGTTACTGGAATTCATGTTCCTCCTGCATAAGGTCAAGGTCACTTGTATTATTGAAAGAGCTATGGATTAGCAGTCGGTGATCCATCCAGAAGTCTTATTGTGGCACTGTCCAAAGTATATTATCTTATGTGTAACTGGCAAGTTTTGTATTCTTCATAGCCTGTATTGGAGGGTCATATTCTAAAATCTATATATGTATATATAAATTCATTAATAATAATACATCATTCAATAGAGATCAATATTAATCAATGCAAATTGTAAAGTAAAATTATTGTGATACAATTATCATTTAACAGCTGTCTGTTGATCTCTCAAATTCTGATTTTAAAGCTGTTTTTGAAAATATGATTTTTGAAATATCCTTGATCCTTCTTCATAGAAGGTAATTTCTTATAACTTGTTTTGCCAGGAAATCGTAAGGCTTTAGTGGAGAAATCTGGCCTTGTGAAGCATGCCACTCCCCGAAAACAGAAGGATGCTTCTAAACAGACAGGCTCTGACTCCAGGGGTGCATCCAATAGGTATGTGGACTAGGGGAGAGAACTCTTTTGAAGAAATTTCCTAGTCATCAAGTTGTATTTAATAACCTCAGACTTGAAAGTTACTTTTACAGATAATTTGCCTGCTCTGTATTTCAACTAACAATTGTCCTTGGGCATATGAATAATTCACTTTAATTTTTTTGTTTTATCCAAGAATGAGAATGTTACATCCTAATTGAAATTCAATTGTGCTAAAGAGAAATATAATGAGGGTCTTCGCTTAATTATATTTTAATGAAGTTTTAGACATGTTGAATTATTTAACTAGTTTAGTTAATGCCTTATTGAATAAACATAAAATAATTGTGTATTTAAATTCTATATGAATACTTGTATGTGCTTTTGTGATGTATGTTGTTGAAATGATTGAATGTTCATTTTTTTTGTGCAGTGAGAATCAACAGTTCCTGAAGGACATTGTTACAAATGTACTTGATGGACAAGGAGTCAGCTGGCTGAAACTTGGACGCATACGGCGACTAATGGAGGATGAAAACTATCGTAACTTTATTGTGAGCAGACTGAACAAAAACCTGGACAAGAAACTGAACGATGACACGCAGCACCTGGAAGATGTAGTAATAACCTTTATTTAAATATCTTGTAGAAAACATCACTGTTTGATCTTAAGCTTCCTGAAGATCAGGATTTTTTTAAAGAATTTCCCTCATCCTCCCATGTTTCTATGATATGATCCAGTACAACTCCAGTAAAATGTTAACTAGCTTTCATTCTGATATCACCTCTACATACAGTCAGGGAATCTCAGTTTTGTAATCAAAAATTTTGTTTTAAAAGTAAGGAATTTCTAATGGAAAAGACAATGTATGCAATTCCATTAAAATTTGAACCATTTCTTGATACTAGAGTTGGATGAAAATTTATTAAGTAGGAACTAGTATTTAAGATCACATTTCTGTATCAATTTCTACTACTTTTATATGGGGGAAAAAAATCTGTTACAGTCAATGACAAAGCAGGTATTCAAGGGCATGATGACCTTGATGAAGGCCATTGTACATGGGCTGGAGCATACTTACCAAAATCATGGACTAGGAGGGATGGCCAGTGCTTACATGGTGCTGGAAATTGCTCACACTCACTACTGGGCTAAGGAGATCATTCCTGGTACTGGCAGCAGTAACCGTAGTGACACCAGTGTTACCCCAGAGGTAAGTGAAACCTGCAGGTATCATATTTACAACATAAGGACATCACTTACAATGCCCAGGGCTACAACAAGCATGACATATGATTCTGGTGCATTATCATATAAGCATGTTGTAATTTATTATACTTCAGGTCAGTAGTGCCAGATTAAAGCAGAGTTCATTTGGTAAATCTATGTTGATATCTATGTACTGTTACTTTTGAATAACATCTGTTACAACAAGCTGCATGAACTGAATGTAGCACTAGTATATTACTAACAGTCCGTGGGGAAACGCCATGGCAACATATGACAAACTGACCAATGTGGGTCAATGTTGGAAGTAGGGTTGGTTGGCTGAGTGGATCGCAGTGTGGTTTGCTGTGTATGTACTAAGGTGAAATCACTGCTACCTTAACTTGACCTTTGACCTTGACCATAAATACTGAAAAAGCCAGCATGATACAGGATTGCAAAGTGAATCTTGAATACTGATTCATATACAGACAGAAAACTTGGGAAACAAGAAGAGTGTTATAAAAACGAGGTGCATTGTTTTAGGATTGGTGCAGCATTTTCCTGATCTTTGTTCTTGACAATACAAACTGAAAACAAAAACAGAGCTGTTACCATGTGTTTCCAGAACATATCTCAATCACGGTTACATGTGTAGACATCAGCCATGGGAAATGGGAAATAGTTGCAATACCAGAATGTGGGAGGTCATATACTTATAGAGGACACTTTGACCTCTGCTTGACCTTAGAATTTTGCTGTAAATACTGAAAAAGAAAATATATATGACAAATATACATAATCTATTCTTTTATTTGGTCTTTGTTGAAGGCTTATAACTTGGTGGAAAGGCAGTGCTGATATAGAAACACATCTTTGGGATGTAGGGGTATTCATGAAGACGAGGCTTCATGTTATACCAAGATTTGAGGACAGTTTTTCAGGGTCATTTACCGACATTATAATCAAAGAAAAGACTGAGCTGTGTAGGATACTTCTGTCTCAGGAGAGACTGCTAGTTACCCTATTTAATATCTGACGTTATTTTGCCAGCTGTGATCACTTATTTCCCAAGCACTGTTTTCATGATGCTCTATTAGTTTAGATGTTCCAGTCACTATCATATGATATATAAATAGTTATTTTTCATGAAAGAATCCATTGCTTGGCTGATCTAGCTTTCAAATTTGGCTGTTGCAGTCATTGCCAAAAAATGATATACCCATGATATGAAACAGGTATATGTGATGAAAAGAAAAGCATTATGTTGGAAAGGGGAAAAAATCAATATTTCTCCATTTGTTTGAAAGAATACGTGATCTAGTCATGGATTTTCATGAAAAAATAATTACTTTATCCCATTGAACACTGAAATTCATGCAAAAGTGCTCAATATTATTAAAATCTGAATTATGAAGACTTGACAGTTAACATCATGTAAATTGCCTTTGGGAAGTTAGAGGTTACATGGCACCTGTCATACGTTTCTTGCTGTGAAGACTTGTAATATTGTTTGAGTAATTTGTAGGCGTGATTTATGTGTGATGTGGAGTCTAACGTAAATTTTTTATTGAAGCATCTTGTGATAACGACCTGCCATGCAATACTAATCATTGTAGATCAACTCTCCGTATGGCAGTCACGAGAGTTTGTCGTCACGCAGTGAAGATTCTCCTCAGAAATCAGAGTCCCACAGTCTGCATGAAGAACATATGGTTGCTGCCCTTGGTAGGGATGCTCTTTGAATCGCACATAATGTTTTTATTTTTCTGATCTTTTATCTCTTTGGTTTGGAACTATATATAGACATATAATCCTATACATATATATATCTATAGCCATTTTGTAATTCCTGCTTTCAGTCTCTTTCAGCTTTATGTGATTGATATATGACATTAACAAGCTTAATAAAACATATGTTTATATTAACCTAGTGACATTAGACTGACACATAAAAGATTTAAATTAAATTTCTTTTTCATTTAATTATCTTTTTAAGTTGACAAAAACTGTTCTGTATATTGCATGTGTTAAACAAATTATAGTAAATAGTCATGATAAATATATAAAACAAGTCAGAACTGAAAAGTTCACAAGAATAGATAGAATTAGATTACAAGAATGTTCACCTACACTTTTTCCTTTACAATGAGAAGATACACACAATTTATTTCCATTAAAAACCTACTTAATGCTTGTGCTGGATTTAGATTGGCACATAGATGTTACTGAGTAATGATTCTAACCAGCAATTTATGAAGATGAAACAAAAAGGGAAGATGTTTTCCATGAATGAAAAGCTGAAGTATTCAGTGTAAAACCATAGCATTGCTCCTGCATTTGTCATCATTTTTATTATCTGCTGCTTGTGTGATCAGCTTCTGGTCCAGTGACTTGTGTTGGTCAACAGCTTTTGCAGTGCATCACATTTATTTTTTATGGCTTGATTGTGATATTTTATGTGTTTTCCTTTTGATTTTCAAATGCCATGACATCCCTTGATATTAAAGCAGTTTAAAAGAAAAAAAACAATTTTGTGTTAAGGAACTTAATAATCAAATGCTTGCAGACCTGTTAAGTGTGTACATAAATTGTGCAGAATGTTTTCCTTCAGTCTTTTGCACCTGTATGCTTTGTAGAAATAACCTCACATTGATACATAGGATATGTTATATGCTGTATAGAAATATTATCAAATTAATTAAATCCAATAATCAAGGTACTAACAATGTTTTCATAGTGACTTCCGGTTCAGGATTAGGGTGACCCTTTGTCCAGTTTTGCCTCTTTTATTTTCCATTTTTTGTTTATGGCTTAGCTTATCTTTTGCTGTGTTGTACCTTGAGCATTTTTGGACCGAGTGATTTGATTGGTTGGCAGGCTCTCACCGTGCCGGTTTATTGCCCGCTGTAGGTCACACATGTCCCGGCTGGACCCGGGCGGAGCGGCCTGTATCTACCCATTATTCTGATCACTCCACCTCTAGCAATAGCACAGAGTCAGGTTGGTATCCTCCCCTTGCACCCCCACTGCTTATTCCCAGTGCCTGCTCCCTCCCCAAAGCTTACCTCCTCCCCATCCCTCAAAGGCTTGCTTGGCTTATGTATGCCTCTTTGTATGTTGTTATGGGCACTAGACTAGTATTTCACAGGCAATCGTAAGGAAATATCATCATCATCATCATCATCATCATCATCATCATCATCATCATCATCATCATCATCATCATCATCATCATCATCATCATCATCATCATCATCATCATCATCATCATCATCATCATCATCATCATCATCATCATCATCATCATCATCGTCATCATCATCTTCATGGGTTATTAAGGAGAATTCCACAATGTTTAGGAATTTAGTGTGTTCAGTCCCATAACAACAAATGATATGATCTCTGGATGGCTACATCTTTTTGTATGAACAATTTTCACATTCTGCAACATTTGGACAGTATTAATAATGACAAATTGAAAAAAAAAAAACTAAGAAAAAAAATCCATATATAATGATAATGTAGATTTCACAGAGATCTTTTGCAAAGACATTTATGATTTGTTGTGTTTGGTCGTCAGCATCAGCTTGCATTGATTAAGCCATTACTGAGTTCAGTTTAATTTACTGTTTCATAGCTTCTGGAACTTTTGTATGTTTTCTTTGTATTGACTTAATCTGAAAATTGTTTAATTGATAAATTAATGTCTGAGACTATTATATTGTATAATGGTCATAATATGATTAAAGCATGAATACTCTGAATGGCTTACTCAATTGTCATGTCATTTGGCTTTTTATGATAATTTCTTTGGTGGCGTTTTTCTTCACTCTTCTTTTATTTACACATAGCTTCACTAACAAGAATTAATTGAAACATTTTAATACTTTTTTGAATTTCAGTCAGAAAAATGAGTTTATTTTAGAAGATGTAACAGTAAAGTTCATGTTTGCTGGAAAGTATTAAATCGTTTTAAATGACTAATCTTGATACATGTACCAGGATATGGTGTCATAGAAACATATTCTTTATAAAATATCATTTATTACATTTTATTTCAAATTCTAATGAATTGCATGTTGTGTATGATTAATTTAGGTCAATGATCGTCTTATCGATGATAAGGTTGCATGGTTTACATTAATATGGCTTCAAGTTGGAAACTGTCTGAAAGAACTGCAGCATGCTTGTTTTAAAGGTTAACTTAGATAACCTGTATACTTGAGAGAGGAAGTAAAGTTACTTATAGTTCATTTCCTGTAGGCTGCTCGTAATACATAAATCTATTAGATGATCAAGGTTACAGTCTGAGAGTTGAGGAGGCACAGTTCTAGAAATCCATTACTGTAGAACGCTTGAAAGGTTCACATTGGTGGTTATAGTCCAAAGACAAGGGAATATTGTACGACCATATAGTGTATGACAAGAGTTCTTCACAGAAATACCTCCTTTGTCTCATGTTTTTGTGGTTCCCATTTGGTTCAAATTAGAAATACTGATCACTTTTGTTAGCATAATAACCCATTATTTTTATTCAAAAGGTGAACTTATTCATAAAAAGATGTAATTTTCCAGTAACTTTATTACACAAACTGTCAGGATATTGGACCCTAACTCTTGTATGTCATGTTTATTTCATATCTTTTAATGAAATTCTTAATGTGGACTTTTTTTGTTGATTCTTTCATTAATTTCTGAAGAGAAATTATAAGTTGGACATGTTCCCTGATTCGGCTTAATTGTTTATGAAATGTTATCTTCCTCTCCAGGGTCTCCGGTACTGGTGAATGGTGAAGAGTTTGAGAACATCGAGATCCAGTCTCTACACCAGGGAAATGTTGATGCTAGCCACTCTACTGTGATCACATCCGGGAGACATCCTCTACAGGTAGACCAGAACAGGAACACTGCCAAGTCCAACAACCCCAATAAGTGTGACATCATCATCACATCAGGAACAAGCTCTGATGCTGTCATATCCTCCAATTCTGATGTCATGCACCAGATGGTGAAAAATAAAGACTTGTTTGCAGATAGCGGTGGAAAGCGTTTCAGTGTTGACTCGGAAAATTCAGAGGCAAGTACCCTGATGTCTAGCAGCTCAGAAACAGTGGGGGAGGATGAAGGGCAGAGGAAAAAACGGATAAACCATCACTCCATCAGGAGCACTTTGTCAGATAGCGAGATGGAAATGTCTGGGGTGCGTAGAATGTACTTTAAAAGTTAAAAAGTCTATTTGCATGATGTTTTCTTCACTTCTCTATTTGGTAGAGGGGATAGGGTATGTATGTGGAAGAAACTCTAGAATTACTTATTGGCAATGTCTTTTCATGAATGATGGATGAGAAATGATATTTTCATACAAGAAACTTTTGTATATTTGAAATGTATTTTATTTTTGTATCTTGTGAAAATATTTGTATGTGAAAAAGATAATTTAAGATTAAATTAAAATTTAAAATTTTAGAATATTTGTTTATAAAAGAATTTCTTTGGATGTAGGAAAAACAAAAATCAGCATACGAGAAAGAGATTGATGATGAGGGCTCTTGTGTGTTGTATAGCAGATGTATGGAACCAATTTTTGCATGTATATACTTCCATTGGTATATGAATACTTGGTTATCTATGTGGGTAATATTTAGATTTGAAAAACTTCTTGTTTGCATGTGAAAAACATCTTTTTTTCTTTTGTATGTATCCAGTCTTCCATGCAGCATTTGACTTATCTTTAATCTGTTGTATTATTTCTTCAACAGACTACGTACTGGTTTAGGGAGTTTTCATTTTCAGTCATGCCTGACAAGAAATGATTACCAAACTTATTTTTACTGATTACCTGATATCACAGACCAAAAGCTTGACGTAATAATTTGATGACTTATTTGAAATACATCCTGGCCTTACATTGTACTCATTGTATAGAAGGATTTATTAACAGCCTTATAAAAACTGTTTTTTTATGATGTGATATGTAATGGAGTAATTTTTGTCAAGTCTTTTTATATATATTTTATTTTTTTCTCTTTTGTGATAAAATTGCATGAGGAAATTTCATTAATATTATGAATATTTGTGTTTTTGAGATGAGAAAAAAATGCAAGGTACCATATGTTTCACATTGATCTTATGAATGTTTTTGAGAATAAGTTGTTTGTCATCAAGTGATTGCTGTGTGTTAACTGAAATATGTGATTGTTTTCTCGTTACTCTGTTGGAGAAATAAGAGTATGTCTGTATGTTACATATGTTTTCGCGTGCAGGAAAAGTTTTTTTATAACGAGGAAAGATTGAATTTATATTTCGAAGAGAATTATTTAGGATGTAAATGCTTCTACTAAATTTTGTGTCTTTGCATTTTGAAAGGTGTCTTCATCAATATATCCTCATTGATATGTATTAGTAGATACAGATAGTTTATGTAAATGTTGATCACCAGTGAACACTGCTTGTTCAAATATTTCTATATACATATAATCAGGATGTGGCCTTAATCCCCTTTATAAAATAACAGGTTTTCCTAACAGTGTTAATATTTGCTATTGAAGACATTTTTTCTGTGTAGTATTTGATCAATGTACTTGTATCTACCTATAGATGGTGAACTACACCAAGAGAACACGATCTCCCAGTACCTTCAGCAACAAGAGCAGTCTGAGTTCTGGGTATCGTTACCCAGAAGGCAAGATGTTGAGTACATCACCGCTTCCTCTCAGTCCAGAGACGTCACGCATGTACCTGTACGAGGGTCTCGTCAGTAAGTTTAGCTTGTTTTTTTACAGTAAATGATTCAGTTTTCTTTGTTTCTGGGTATTCCTGAGACTATTAATTTCATCGCTCCACCTTGTAGTATTGAGGTGTAATATCTTATTACATGACAAACAAATAAAATCTCTTTTATTTGCCAACTTCCATCGAAACAACTCCCTCTGAAAAAAAGTGATTTCCAGTTGTAACAGTAAGTGGGAAAAGAGGTGGCACTATTCTAATATAGTAACTCTGGCATCAGCTGTGGCATTCTACCTTAACATTTTCAGGTTTTATCGTAAGTTTTTCCAAGTAGAAGGATATTATTAATATCACTGAGCAGTTGATCATTAAATGATTCAAGCATTATGAATTATTCTCAATGTGTTAATCCATATATTCATATTTAAGGGTCTAAAAGTAAAATTTGTAATTATATGAAATATAACAACAACAGATGGGCTATGCTGTTCTCAAACAGCTCTTATCAAACCACTTTCATTTGTCATCTGCGAGAACTTGTGATTATGGTAATGGGAGTGGTTAGTGCAACTTTTTGTAGTTCCTAGAATTGTTATAATAAGCCTGATTTTCTCTGGAGGTCTTTATTTAATTCAATGCCTCTGCGAGAATTCAAACCCTCTACCTCTGGTTTACCACTCTAATGCTCACCAATTTCACAAAGAACGTCTTTCACTGGCTGATGAGCTGTATACTGCAGAAAATTACCAGTGTTACAAACAAATGTCGTATGATGCATTGTTTGGCATAAATAATCTTTTGTGGAAGACTACAATTGTAAAAAGTAGACGTGGTGTGCCCTCCCTTGCTCCAAGGTAAATAGGGGTAATCTATATTAATATATGACCTGTTTCTCCAGCCAAGGACAGGTCACGACTGTGGGACCAAATGCAGTTCTGGGAGGATGTGTACCTTGATGCCGTGGCACAGGAGCGTGACATAATTGGCATGGACCAGGGACCTGGGGAGATGATGGAGAGGTAGGGTACAGTTTTAGTCCACTGATCCATCCATCATCCATGCCAGATATAGATATTTGTGTGAATTTATATTTAGCTGCATTTCTCTGATATTGCTAGTTCCACAGTTTTATAGATTGCTGTTAACATGCTATGTTATACATGTTTCTGATTCTCTGACTCTGGTTACACTTTTCCTGTGGCCTATACTTTCTGATTCACTGACTCTGGTTACACTTTACCTGTGGCCTATACTTTCTGATTCTCTGACTCTGGTTAGACTTTACCTGTGGCCTATACTTTGTGATTCACTGACTCTGGTTACACTTTACCTGTGGCCTATACTTTCTGATTCATTGACTCTCGTTACACTTTACCTGTGGCCTATACTTTCTGATTCACTGACTCTCGTTACACTTTACCTGTGGCCTATACTTTCTGATTCACTGACTCTGGTTAGACTTTACCTGTGGCCTATACTTTCTGATTCACTGACTCTGGTTAGACTTTACCTGTGGCCTATACTTTCTGATTCACTGACTCTGGTTAGACTTTACCTGTGGCATATACTTTCTGATTCACTGACTCTCATTAGACTTTACCTGTGGCCTATACTTTCTGATTCACTGACTCTCGTTACACTTTACCTGTGGCATATACTTTCTGATTCACTGACTCTGGTTAGACTTTACCTGTGGCCTATACTTTCTGATTCACTGACTCTGGTTAGACTTTACCTGTGGCCTATACTTTCTGATTCACTGACTCTGGTTAGACTTTACCTTTGGCCAATACTTTCTGATTCACTGACTCTGGTTAGACTTTACCTGTGGCCTATACTTTCTGATTCACTGACTCTGGTTAGACTTTACCTGTGGCCTATACTTTCTGATTCACTGACTCTGGTTAGACTTTACCTGTGGCCTATGGTCAGACTTTACCTGTGGCCTATACTTTCTGATTCACTGACTCTGGTTAGACTTTACCTGTGGCCTATACTTTCTGATTCACTGACTCTGGTTAGACTTTACGTGTGGCCAGTACTTTCTGATTCACTGACTCTGGTTAGACTTTACCTGTGGCCTATACTTTCTGATTCACTGACTCTGGTTAGACTTTACCTGTGGCCTATACTTTCTGATTCACTGACTCTGGTTAGACTTTACCTGTGGCCTATACTTTCTGATTCACTGACTCTGGTTAGACCTATAGTGTAATACTGATAAAACACAAGATATAAAGATGACATATATGTGTATAGAATAACACTTTTCTAGATTATGTTTACAACAACTGTTAAGGCTAATGTTTACCCATCTTACAGGTATAACTCCTTAGGAGACAGTGAAAAGAAGCGCCTTGAGCAAGATGAGGATCGCCTCTTGGCCACTATGTTATACAACCTGGCCAGTTTTATGGTCATGATGCGCTGCAATAAGCAGGAGATGAGGAAGAAAGTGCGACGTCTTCTCGGAAAGTCTCACATAGGCCTTACATTTAGCACTGAGGTCAATGCTATATTGGACCAAGCAATGAGTATGGTAAGTACTAGCATGCCTAGAAAAAGCTATTTGGAGATCTTAACTAAACCAAGCAATATGTATTGTGAGTGGTAACATATGACAGACCTACATGTTTACTGTTAACAGCTACTATTCTCACGAGATGATGATCTTAGTAAATTGGCACATTTGTCTACTGGAAATTACATGCTTATCAAATAATACTACTGATATCTGTCTAGATGTTTGCCTCATGTCTGTGTCTCTCGTAATGCCTTGATTCTTGGTTTTGTCTCGCAAATCTGTCCATGTATATTAATTCTGTTTCTGCCTTCAGCATGGAAATGACATACCCCTGAAGCCAATGGGAAGCCGTTTTATGCAGAAACAGTCTTTCACTGTTCATTGGGGAAGTGATAACTCAGGGGACATGCTCTTCATGGAGGTTAGTAAAGGGCTACATTCTTCATCAGTCTGAACTATAATGTGTTACTGACATATTTTTACCAAAATCTTTATCATGCCATACAGAAACTCCGAATTGAAACATATGAACAGTGTTGGCAGTTGTGAAAACTTACTTGATTTCATACCCACATTAGTGTTACTGTTTAAACTTTGTTTTCTACCCAATTTTTGTGTCCAGTTAAATTTACTTATTGCTATATAAAATTTGCAATCACTACTGCATTAATGTTTCTTTCTAAAATAATTGAGGAACGTTACTGAGATTAATTCTAACAAAAGTCCTGTTTATTTACGCCTGACATAGGTTTGTGATGATTGTATTATTCTGCGGAGTGTGATGGGAGCCATCTGTGATCGTTGGTGGTACGAAAAACTTGTCAATATGACATACTGTCCTAAGACTAAAGTTCTATGTTTGTGGCGTAAACATGGTGAAAAGGTTCAACTCAACCAGTTCTACACTAAAAAGGTAGGATTGAGTGTAAAATGTATAAGTTCTAGAGAAAAAAGTTTTATCATCATAAGGTAGACATCAGCCTATAGCTGTAATCCTACAGGTAAACATAAGACATGTTTATAGTTACTGTATGTGGATCATAAGGTAGACATCAGTCTATAGCTGTAATCCTACAAGTAAACATCAGACATGTTTATAGTTACTGTATGTAGATATGACCTCAGCTTAGCTGTAATCCTACAGGTAGACATGAGACCTGTTTATAGTTACTGTATGTAGATATGACCTCAGCCTAGCTGTAATCCTACAGGTAAACACGAGACATGTTTATAGTTACTGTATGTAGATACATGTATGACCTCAGCCTAGCTGTAATCCTACAGGTAAACATGAGACCTGTTTATAGTTACTGTATGTAGATATGACCTCAGCCTAGCTGTAATCCAACAGGTAAACATGAGACCTGTTTATAGTTACTGTATGTAGATATGACCTCAACCTAGCTGTAATCCTACAGGTAAACACGAGACATGTTTATAGTTACTGTATGTAGATATGACCTCAGCCTAGCTGTAATCCTACAGGTAAACATAAGACATGTTTATAGTTAATGTATGTAGATATGACCTCAGCCTAGCTGTAATCCTACAGGTAAACATGAGACCTGTTTATAGTTACTGTATGTAGATATGACCTCAGCCTAGCTGTAATCCTACAGGTAAACATAAGACATGTTTATAGTTACTGTATGTAGATATGACCTCAGCCTAGCTGTAATCCTACAGGTAAACATGAGACCTGTTTATAGTTACTGTATGTAGATATGACCTCAGCCTAGCTGTAATCCTACAGGTAAACATAAGACATGTTTATAGTTACTGTATGTAGATATGACCTCAGCCAAGCTGTAATCCTACAGGTAAACATAAGACATGTTTATAGTTACTGTATGTAGGTATGACCTCAGCCTAGCTGTAATCCTACAGGTAAACATGAGACCTGTTTATAGTTACTGTATGTAGATATGACCTCAGCCTAGCTGTAATCCTACAGGTAAACACGAGACCTGTTTATAGTTACTGTATGTAGATATGACTTCAGCCTAGCTGTAATCCTACAGGTAAACATGAGACCTGTTTATAGTTACTGTATGTAGATATGATCTCAGCCTAGCTGTAATCCTACAGGTAAACATTAGACCTGTTTATAGTTACTGTATGTAGATATGACCTCAGCCTAGCTGTAATCCTACAGGTAAACACGAGACCTGTTTATAGTTACTGTATGTAGATATGACTTCAGCCTAGCTGTAATCCTACAGGTAAACATGAGACCTGTTTATAGTTACTGTATGTAGATATGACCTCAGCCTAGCTGTAATCCTACAGGTAAACATTAGACCTGTTTATAGTTACTGTATGTAGATACATGTATGACCTCAGCCTAGCTGTAATCCTACAGGTAAACATGAGACCTGTTTATAGTTACTGTATGTAGATATGACCTCAGCCTAGCTGTAATCCTACAGGTAAACATGAGACCTGTTTATAGTTACTGTATGTAGATATGACCTCAGCCTAGCTGTAATCCTACAGGTAAACACGAGACCTGTTTATAGTTACTGTATATAGATATGACCTCAGCCTAGCTGTAATCCTACAGGTAAACATAAGACATGTTTATAGTTACTGTATGTAGATATGACCTCAGCCTAGCTGTAATCCTACAGGTAAACATGAGACCTGTTTATAGTTACTGTATGTAGATATGACCTCAGCCTAGCTGTAATCCTACAGGTAAACATGAGACCTGTTTATAGTTACTGTATGTAGATACATGTATGACCTCAGTCAAGCTGTAATCCTACAGGTAAACACGAGACATGTTTATAGTTAATGTATGTAGATATGACCTCAGCCTAGCTGTAATCCTACAGGTAAACATGAGACCTGTTTATAGTTACTGTATATAGATATGACCTCAGCCTAGCTGTAATCCTACAGGTAAACATAAGACATGTTTATAGTTACTGTATGTGGATCATAAGGTAGACCTCAGCCTAGCTGTAATCCTACAGGTAAACATGAGACATGTTTATAGTTACTGTATGTAGATATGACCTCAGCCAAGCTGTAATCCTACAGGTAAACATAAGACATGTTTATAGTTACTGTATGTAGATATGACCTCAGCCAAGCTGTAATCCTACAGGTAAACATGAGACCTGTTTATAGTTACTGTATGTAGATATGACCTCAGCCTAGCTGTAATCCTACAGGTAAACATAAGACATGTTTATAGTTACTGTATGTAGATATGACCTCAGCCTAGCTGTAATCCTACAGGTAAACATAAGACATGTTTATAGTTACTGTATGTAGATATGACCTCAGCCTAGCTGTAATCCTACAGGTAAACATGAGACCTGTTTATAGTTACTGTATGTAGGCCTTCTTGGATACCCAGCAACTGATTGTAATCTTAAGAATATGATATTGAAGAAGTTGTTTTACTGATCTTTCTAAAAATAAAATGATGTTTGGAGTCTTCATGATGAGATAATTTTACCTTGCAGTGTCGAGAGCTGTATTTCTGTGTCAAAGAAGCTATGGAGAAAGCTGCTGCTAGGAACAATGGGAAAATTGCAGGTAGACACTCATTGTATGATAAAATATATCATGACATCTCAACCTTACAGCATGTCTGATCAGTTAGTGCTATTTTTCATATGGAATATACAAATTTTTAACAGTCATTTTACTTATTATAAAAAAATCATTATCATCAGAGTGTTTATATATATTTGCCTTTTGTCAGGTCCAGAATTGGGAGGGGAATTTCCTGTACAGGATTTGAAGTCTGGTCAAGGAGGCCTACTACAAGTGTGTATGGAGGGAATCGGGCTCCTCTTAGCCAATAGCAAGGTGAGGATATAAATCACCCTCCCCGTACATGTCCCATATAGTCATATGACTGTTGATTGATGTATAAAGGTAGACACTCACCAAAGGTTAAAATGCTCCTCACCACCTCCCCATCTCAATCTCGTGTATCAGCATTGATATCTATATCTGCCAAATATGTAGTGAGCTTGTTAGAAATTATTGTGTTTTTTCGTAATTGAGCTTTGTCTTAAGAAACAGATATAATTAGTTCAAGGATTTTTTATAGGGCAAATTATTGAGCAATAAAAAGTTAAATACATTTCTCGTTAAATAGATCGAATGTGATACAAGAGAGACCTATCCAGTTAGGACTTGTCTTTCATTAAATATCTTCATATAACTATATCGTTTCACAAGGAATAAATACCAAATTTCTCAGAAATATTGGAAGCATTGAAATACACAATATTTATGTCATAATTTAATGTTTGGCAGATACAGATACCATTATTATCCTTCCTTATCCATCCCTTATACAATTTAACAACCACAGTGGTTTGATGTATATGGTCATGCAGTCAGACATGTATTATGTCACACATATTGATAAATGCATGTTAAAAAGTTGCATTAATATATGCTTCATAATGTGAAGTATTATGTTAGACGTGTGTGAAAGTCCTACCGACATTGGTGCATTTATATAAATCTATTGCTGTAGTAAAACTCCTACTATATATACGACTACCAAGTTTATGAAATGTTTGTATTTAATTTATTAAGGGATATTGTGATAAACTTGATACTGTATTTGTTTTTAAGAAACACGTGCAAAACAGATAATGAAGTAATCAGATAATTCAAAATAATCATTATCAAGATAAAACCAGTCCAATGATATACAAGTTTGCTAGTTATGTTTTAGGAAAAAGCAGTATTAGCAATGATATTACAACCTCTGTAAGTAGTGTAAAAATACAGGAATTACATGGGAAAAAATGCTTAATAAACAATCACAATTAATAACATTATAAAATTGATTAAAATAGAAACCAGAGGCAATGAGTTTTTATTGTACACAACTCCAAATGATTATTTTATCTGAAATATTTCTTTCAAGCTCAATGAATTCAAATTTTAATATATCTCCTATTATTAAGCATCAAGTTTTACCAAGTAGTACTCAGACATGCATACTTCTAGAGATTAAAGATTGTGATAATGAAAAGGACCCAGATTGCTGAGCCGGTAGAGCTTTGGCCAATGTTACCTCAGGAGAAGATCCGAGGTTTGTGGTTTGATGCTTACTACACAAGGCAATTTGGATTTCTCTTAGCAGCAGAGAAATGACCAGTCTGTGTTGATGTGGTTGTATTCTGTAGCAAGACTCTTTACCTTACTGGTTTTGTTAGCATACAACTATACGTTGTTCAGGGAGGTAGCCTTTAACCAAGGAGATATGCTCTGCCTCAAAATTAAGTGATTGATATGCTCTGCCTCAAAATTAAGTGATTGATAATAACATAGGCACATTGCATAAAAGAACAATAAACTAATTAAAAAAAATAAGCATGAGGAAGCTGATTAAAAAACTTAACCTGTATTTTGATAACATCAATATTGACAGGTGACCACACTAATTACACTATGATAAAAAAAAATCAATTCATCCCTTAATCAGTATGGACATTTGACAGCACTAGTTTAGATCAAACTAAATCAAGTACACTTTTATATTGACAAATGACCACACCATAGGCTGTAGAATTAAATGCACTTGAGTATTGACCAAATGCCCTCCTTGCTGAGAACCCTACCAAGACACTGCCCCTGTTCTGGTGTCCGTTGGTCCTCTATCAGGAATGATCTGCTTTGCATGTGACCTTCAGTATATAATTTAAACATAAACCTGGGTCAAGTGTGCAATGTTTGTGACATCTCTGATGTACATAGTTTATATAAACAGCCTCCTAGGGTTCATTTGTAGACTATCTGTACTGGCATGTAGTTAATGGAAGGAAGGTAGAAAATATCAACTAGTTCCTTACAGTGGTGGTGTATGATGATGAAACCCAGTTTTATGTTTCTAGAATTAATTAAGCATGATAAGCATGTGAAAAAGCCATAGTAATGCTTTCCCTGTCTAATTTTTCTGCATGTTCTTTCATCAGATATGTTTACCTGTATTCCCTGTAGTGTAATTGACGAATCATTAAAATTGTCTATTTACAGTTGTTGAAATATTTATTTTTTATAAGAATTTTAGAGGAAAATTTGAGATGTATTGTCAAATTGGTCAACAGTAATTAGGTGATTGCTAGTACGCTCCATACTGGTCATTTGTCTGATGAAAGTAACCATGCAGTCATTGAAACGTCACATTAAAATCTGCTGTTAGTTGTGTTCTTTAAGAACTTTTATTCCATTGACATCACCAACCTGACAAAAATGTTACACAATGTACTGTCGAGTTTTCACCCTAGTTATAAATGTATTCCTGTGATGAATAGTGTAATTATTACTATATCAATATTGATGTTTCTTCCTTAAAAGATAATATGAGCTAGATCTCCAATTCCATGATGGAACATAGATTATGTACTATGCTTATAACTGTTAATAGTTACACAATGGATGGTGATTCAAACTCTCGCAGAAATCTTTGAGGTATTAAAAAGGTCTGAAAGAGTTGTTTAACCTATTATTGACCCCAAATATTTTCGAAATTATCAGTCTGCAAATGAAGAGAGATGTCAGAAACATTTGTGGAAGATATAAATCCTGTTTTTCGTTTATCAGTATTTAGAATTGTATGTTAAAAGATCTCAGATTAAGACTCTCCCATTCAAAGGGCTTTTAAGAGTAGGTGTTACTGCATGCGTCATCACTTAGGATACATGCTAGTTGAATAAATTAATAGATTAGCAAGCCATATTGAATACATTTGATTGCAAGGACAAGTTAACAAACCACAGTAATTGGTTTGTAATACCATTTAATACATGTTAACCTGAAATCAGCATTGATTTATATTAAGCATTTCTAACACAAAAACGCCCCCTTCAGATAAACTGTAGCAGACTTGATGGGATATTTGAAAGACATTTCAAAGTAACTGAAGACTTGAACTTTAAGTAGTATTGTACATCTGCATAATGGAAGATGGAGGAGTGAAAAATCTTTTTTCATTGTTTTATCTTGCTCTGCCCTTTTTGTAGTTTTGTTTGTTCCTTGTTTGCTAAAATCAATTCAATGTTTCTGATGTTAGAAACACTGCTGTTTTCTTTGAAATGTTTCTAATGCGAAGAACGTCTGATAACTTGCAATGTTATACAAGCTTTACAATGAATTTTATCCATCAGACAAGTTTTAGTATCAAATCAAAGATCCCACTTTGCATGTCACCAATGTGAGAATAAAAATACGAGTGACAAAGTTTGGACCTAAAAGTGTAATAGAAGTTTCACAGTAGCTATTTGTACGCATGTTGCCTTGGAAATTGCTTGATTTTGTTTATATTAGGGTAGTTTTATTTCAGATTAATTGCTAGCTAAACCAATTTGCTGACAAATACCTTTATGAATTATTAGATAAATGAAAACAAATCAAAACACCAACTTTACTTCTGTCTGTTAAGTTGATTGTTGATCACAATCTTATTACAGATGCCTGATTTAAATGTTACAGGTATAACAATGATACGTAGGGTTGATATGTACAGTGTTGACACTCATCATATTCATACTTACAATTAAAGCAATAGAAATTGTTGACTTAATAAGAAAATTTCAGGCGACGACAGGATACAACGTACATGTTGAAGAAAAATAACTACCCTAATAAAGATTTGGTGTTTGCTAACTTGGATATGTTTTTCCATATATATGTATATATATATTTATATTGCTGCATTGGTGATGTTGTCATGGTGATTGGATGTTTTATGGTAATGGCATTAAATTTTTTCATCTTTCTTCCTTCCTTGCGCTCGCTCCATACATCAACCCGGGGTGATAAAAGGACTTTGAGGTAACTGTACTCACAAACGTATAACACTCCGACTGCCAAATTGGCAGCCAGTCCCTCTATTGTAGTGGCCAGTAGACCAGTAGTTACTGTACTGTTGTTGTCAACCTTTTGTTTGACTATACAAGCGTCTTGTGGCACTTCGTGTGTTTGCACTATTCTGTTTCTTTCATTGTGTGTGAGCATATTAGTTTTTTCAGATCTAAGAATTATTCAATTGGCATCCAAGTTTTTAGTTTTTATTATTTATTTTCAAGTGTTTTGATTTTGTTTTATTAGTGATGTGTTTTCTTCTCCTTACCAAATCTGGAACAGAGACAATTAGGACAGTAACGTTTGTGTTTTCCGTTGAGTTTCTGGGTAAATTTTTTTTCTGACCTAATCGCTTTTTGAGATGTATAGGTCAGAAAAGAAAATTCAGTTTAATGCGTATCACCCACTTAATCGTTAAGTTGCTTTCAACGTTTTCATTTCAGTCATTTATTGAGCTAGGTCGAATCAAGAAATGTTTCACGCAGAAAGGCGGCATATTTGTTCTAGAGGAATTTGGTAAGGTCATGGCTCGTTGCACAAGTTTTTTACTTTTAGATTTTAATCCTATTTATGCCTTGATGTAGTAGTAAGTATATGCTGTTTGCTTTGGATGTGGTAGACCTGTGAACAATACTTACCAATCAATAACAATGCCTTCACCTCTCTAAACAAGCATGGATTCATCGGTTACAAATTGTAAAGGATTTCACAGTGCCAGCTAAGAATTCAATAGGAGAATTTCTAAAGGAGTGCAGGATATTAAATATTATCAGATAGAACCAGCATTATGATGATTAAACAGCTAATTGGAAAAATGGCACACTTTTAATGTAGACGTTAAACTCATTCCCGAAATTAAGTGTGATAGGTTTTATTGTATATTCAATCTGTTACCGTTATGAATCGTAAGCAGGTTTTTTTGTCTGCAAATAAATGAAAAGAATAACAATGATCAGATGTAAAGCCATGAAGTGAAAAAAAATGGATAAGTTAAACATTCTATAAATGCAGAAAATATGTAACTTTATCATTATAAATGTATTAACATGTGTCAGTAACTTGAAATGACAGCATAGTTTTGGTTCAATTTATCAGGTGCTTAAAGTGATATCATTTAAAATGGTTAATTGAAGGCATTGTAGTACACATGCTGAGATATGTATGTGTTATATCAATCGTTAGCATGCCTCTTGTTGAAGATTCCTACCTCCGTGTTTTGTAATGTCTTGTATAGTTAGTGCATGCTGGTATTTATTACAGTTTAAAGTCTGCTGGAAATTTCTATTTTTTTTTTTTATGGTAAGATGGGGTATATATTCATATCATTAATATGTCAATAGATTTGATTCCCCAAGTAGAATAAAGCCACACTTATATTCAATTTTTTTCTCATCAGTATTTTTGGTTTCATTACTCACATTTAATGTTGATCAAATACTCCAAAAACGAAACCAGACGTAGCTATAAATAGTTATTTTAGTGATGATTGCTGTGACATTACATTGTGATTTTGTCCCATTACATTTTTGATAGGAAGGCTGTATATATCTGATTGCCTCCAATAGTTTAAGAGAGTCAGGTTAATACTGAAGTGATGGGTGTGTTCTGTACAAAGATATAGAGCTTCTAAACAAAACCAGCATGTTTATGATTGGTTACTTTACATGTAAAATCCTCTTTATAATATCAGTAAATATTGTTTTGTTACAAGCTCATCATTTTGCATGAAACCCAAATTTACCATCTCCAATATATTGATATCATATTGAAATAAGTCTTTCTTTATTTACCATCTCCAATATATTGATATCATTTTGAAATAAGTCTTTCTATATTCTCTTGATTTGTCCTCTTTCTTTCTTCCCCTTTTTTGTTTGTTTTTGTTTTATTACTGTCTGTCATACATGTTCCTTGTGAAATCCTTAAGTGTTTTAAATATTCTAAACTGCTTTTTTGTTTTCACTGTTTGTTTTTTTTTTTTTTTTTTCTTTAATTTTTCTGGATTGTTCCTGTTTGCATTTTTATATCTAACTTAATTTCTCATGATTTTTTGCTTGTTTTGTTGACTGAAAATAAATCTAATGATATGTGTGCTAATCATTGAATAAGCTAAAACTATTTATTGCTTATTAATTCTTGAAGCATCAATTATATTCATTTTTCAGTCGTCTACATTAGAATGCATTTTTTCTTATATGTATTTCCTTACACCTGTGGTACTGTTAAATCATGTATTCTCATGGGCGTAATTTTCATGATTTGAAGTAAAAATATTTCATAGACAGATCATTTCATGAATAAACACATATGAATATATATACTTATTTTAACAGTTTGTGGGAATAAAAAACTGGATTGAAATTATCAACAAGATTAATGAAACTTAATCCCCCATGAAAATTAATGATTTTATTAAGTATTTTGTGATGTTTAAGTCATTCCCAGCATGATATGTACTTACATCCTTTATTCAGCATGTTTTCTGCAACATTAATAAATACACGTTGATAAAATTGTTTAAATCTATTGGTGATTGTCTTTATAATGAATTACATAATATTTCATACCTCAGTATTGTTTTATTTCAAATATTATGTTACTAGTAACATGTTTTCCGAGCATGTCATTCAGTTTGATTCCATATATCAGAATACTTATTTGGTTTTACCCCTTACACAGTATGCTTTCTATGTTCTGATTTGTTTAATAGTGTGCTGGTAAATTCTATAGTTATGTTATATTTCATTTTCACATGAATACAAATTTTATAAAATATGTTATGCATAATCATAAAAAGATGACTGATCATTGATTTCATTGTATGAACAACATATACAACCACTTAATACCTTTTCCCATTTTACGTTATTGCAGATACCAAAAATCGGCAAGTAACGTTACACAAGTTCAAGTCCAGGATGGTGAGTAGTCTCTGCTGTAATTATGTAAACAAGATATTAGTTTTGTGATCTGTTGGTCGATTGTGTGCATGAAATGTTGTAGATCGTACAAAATAGTAGATATGATTTATTTTATGTTTAAAGTGATAGTAATTTTGCATGAATTATTTTACTATTCTACCTGTGTATATAGTGACAATAAGAAAAGTTATTGTTAGACAATACTTTTCTAACCTGTGTGAGAATAAGCTGCTTTGATTTCTTTGTTGTCAAGTCTCGCAATCTCAAGTAACGAAGAAAGCTTGGCCGTTAACATTCTGCGGAATGATTGGTTATATTAGGAGTTGATTCAATAAGAGTGTGCCATAGATTGAATTCATATTGGTATTTGAAATTGTTGTAAAACTGAACAATGGTGTTTCTTCACCCTTAAAGTGAATTTTCAAATTCACAATAAAATAACATTTACATATTTACTCGACTGTGAAACAAAGTCATGCTTTTTACCTTCAGTTTTGCTTACATATAAGTATGTACATCCCCTTGATTTACAAATTTCTGTCTTATGTTAGCTGTGCTAATGTTTTTATTGATTTCCAAATTATTTACTTGTTGTTGTGTACATGTTGTACTATCAGAATATATCTATCACAATCTACATCCTGTATGCCGAAGTTTGTTGGTCCCTTCTGGAGTCAGTTTCTGTATGATATAAAATAATCAGCAGGGAGCAACTGAGCAAACATCCGTCAATTATTCCCATTTAATCAAAAACTGAATACGCTCTTCTAGAACAAATACATGTTAACCCATAAAGATAAGTAATATTGGTCTTCACCATTTAAACTCTCTTTGTGCCTATGCCTTGTTTTCTTTTGTCCTAAGTAGGGGCACTTAAAAGAGGTTCACTGTAGTTAGGTGTTCCTCTACCATGAAGTTTTCCATCAGTAAACTACTGAAAAACCAAAATAATTCTGCAGTATCCCTTTTGCAAATAAAGTCAATACCTAGTGATGGTAAAGCCTTGGATCACTTATGAGGGAATGGGTGATACAATTTGTGATGAATCCTCCATAGATCATTGAGGAAAGGCAGTCATCCCTTGATTGTGAGACTTAAGGACAAGCTTTAGATATTGATGGATTTTGTTTTGTTTCCTGTTCCCAGGCCAATCCTATAGCTTTGATGATACACAGAATCTTTGCCGTCCAGCATGCTATGATGAAATCACTCACTGAACAAGTGACAACTGAGAGTAGGCGTTTGCTGCTCAATTTTCTTTTAGCCTTTATTGCTGTATTGCTTAACCCTTTTTCTAGTTTGATGCAGTTTAATATACTAACCAATTGTTAATAGACCTTTAGAGCAACTTTATATTTCATCAGCGGAAACACAGATTACAAGTCAATATTTCATAAACAATAAACAGATGTTTGTGAAAGTTATGAACTTTTTTAAAAATGCATGCTTCAGCTTTAGCTAAATTTGTAAAAATGCCATGGGGTTATCAGGTTTGATGCTTAGCTAGTGCTAATACCTATACCTTATATATTCCTCATGGACTTGAAAAGTGTCTCTAATTTCTGTTTATTTCGGCTGAACTGGACAGAGTTGTTCAAATAACCATTCTCATCGGTAACTTAATGTTACAATAGTTTTATTTTGTTTAATTGTGTATTGATGTTGTGTTTTTTCAAATGACATTTAAAAAGTAGCATCAATTAGAAGCTTAGAAGACAAATTTGTCCTTAATACCTTAATGGCAGATTTTGAACAACTGTGTCCACTTTTTATAATAACTCCTTGACCACTTTTAGCTAATACATATATTTTTAATGACTTCTTGACCACTTTCAACTAATATGCAGAAAAGATAATTTCTTGACCATTTTCCAGTTACCATATTTGTTTTTTTGAAATATTGCTTTTGCTAACAAAAATGAAATAGTATTGCTTTGTTTTTGTGTTACTAACTATAATTGATTAAAATTATTAAACATTTTGAAATCAATAATTCAAAACACCCCTTAAAGTTCAATTTTGTTCTTTTTTTCATTTCATCACAATTTTATTGAAGATGTGAAGATTTTAAACCTGCTATTTATGTTGACATCTTGAGTTATCGAGGTTCAAATGTTCAGAAAAGAAAAAAAAAAATCATGATGGCAATGGTTTTACTGTATCCAATATTAGTAATATCACTATGTTCAAATAGTACTTGTATGGATGTGCTTATCTTTGTGGTTTTGAAATTTATTTCTATCCTGATTTCAGGCTGACCAAATCTGCTATGCAGTCCTGTGTGTGTTTTCTTACGTTGCTGCAGGAATGGAACAACAACAACAACCACAAACCTCCTTGTTCCCTCTGCCTACACAACAGAGAAAGCAGACCTGATCGACCAATCAAACCTAAGCTTTAATCCAGTATTTTAATTGCTCACGTTATTTGGACCATGGTGTGGTCGAATTGTTTGAAAATTATGTTTGTCATATACAAAAACGATATCCTTCCATTGACAGAGGAACATTTTCCCCCGTCCTTAACGAAAAAATATATCATCATACAAATTTTTAGCGGTGAAAAGGGTAACAGTATATTGGATATGCATGTGCATCACAATACATACCAAAGATAAGTGTTCACATTTCGTTGCATATTTAACTCTTCATACAAAATATTTTTCTTATTAAATGCATAAGAGTCCTATTGATAGGTTTACATTACATGATTTTTATGTGAATTTTACGATACTGCTGTTGTAAGGCCAAAAACTCCAAATTTTGCAGGCACACAAGTTTTAAAATGTTATGGAATAAATAACAAATTTTTAGAATGTAAAATAATCTACATCAGTGTGGTGCAGCTTCATATTGTGTATGATGATATTCGATTGATTGATATGCTATGAATAGAATGGTTAACTTGTAAAGAAATATATATATAAAAAATATTTTTATATTTCAAAGAAAATGGATATTTTGCTTCTAAATCTCTACGAAATGAAATTTATTTTCCTAATGCTGATATATATATGTTAAGTTGCCAACTTTTTTGTTTGGTTTGATTGGTTGTGATGGCCATTGTTGTGAAGGATGCCATACCTTTAATTAGTCCTACATTGTATTGTGTGTAGACTAGCAAGGCTTAAGAGGGAACCTTGTGTAGGTCATAAAGGCGTATAGTTGTGTTGTTCTATAAATGATGTGATGTGGTACACTAGGATCTGCGGGCAGTCAGCGACTTGTGGAGATGCGCTTGTTTCATCTGTGATACAGATTAATCACAAGCTGCTTCTCACTTTTGAAGTCTAGAGGAACAAATATATATTAGTATAATCCTGCTATAACCTTTCATATAACATCGTGAACATTGGTGATAAAAATATTTAGCATAATAACCAACATAATATGCTTTAAAAGTGACATTTTGATACAAAATACAGAATGTGAAATAAATCTGTACGAACTTGTGATGCTTTGACAGATGTGTAGTAGATAAAAAAAGCTACAAAATGCCTAGGTGATGTTGAACGTGTTCGTTCCGTTACGATTTGTTAATACCTTTGTACAGTGTTAACCTCCCTGATCATGCGTTGTCATGTGATCCCGTGTCTTAGGTCATGTGATGGCCAATTCTTATGCCATGTGATATACGTGAAGATCTTGTGATATTAAATATGCATATTATATCACATGATATAACCATGTTTATATCATTTATATGAGAAATCTGTGACATAAGTCATTTGCCCATCATGTAAAATTCATTTTTGTTTGTTCACCTTTTATTTTGGATTCATCAACACGTTAGTGTTCTAATTCATTGTAGCACTGTCCAATATACTCGTCAGCGAACTGGTACAAATTTGCTACAGTAAACTTTCAGAATTTTATGGTTTAAATGTCGGGAGAACGTTGTCGAGGAAACCAGACACTAAAGAAATATATAAATGCATATACAATGAAAAGTCTATATAATGACCATCATGATTGGACAGTATTACAACTGATTGGAGTGCTAACAAAGATGTGACATTGATTGTGGTATTTCTCGTTACAATGCTGTACGTCTGATCACACCTCCGGTGAATCACGACCTGTTAATTAGATCTGTTTAATGGTTTATTTAGGTCCCGTTACATTGTTGTAAATACCTATACCGATATGACTTTGTAGGAATTATACCATTGTACATTTTTGTATAGAATTGTTCTGATGTCCCGTAGTTACCAGGTACTCACCTTATACCTTGGAATCTGTTTAAGTTTCTTCCTATTGGTTGACGTGTAACAAATGGCGACTGAAGGAATTTAACACTTTCCTTTATCCAAAGGTACCGCCATCTTGATATCTGGTGATGATTTGTTTGATATTTTACACTATATACACAGCTACTAATTGATTCCAAATACATTTAACTCATCAATTTTCTTAGCAAGTTATAACTGTATATTTGCATTTGAATGGATTATTTACCACTAATTACATGAAAATGGCGCTATCCCATAAGGGAGAAAGATATTTACAGGGAAACCTGTTGTTATTCAAACACTACAAAGTGGTATCAAGTTATAGATGGTTTGATATTATACCCAAAAAGTATTGTTATTGGCTAATGGTGGTTAAGTATTAAAGTATTGATTATGTGTTACTGTCTGCATCGATATAGGATTGTACAGTGTTATAAAGACTACAAACACCTTGCCAATTTTTTTTAACTAAACAGACACGATAAAGAATCCCTAGGGGAATGTCCATGATTCCACAATACTCAGCAATGCATTCTGATGGTGAGATATGATTTTATCATGAAAACATACTGTAAAAGGCTCATCAATTTTAATTATTACCAAAAGGTACTGTTCTAGAAATACATTGTAACAATCAATTCATTTGAAAGTCGAAATGATATAGATTCAAACATAATCGACCTAGAACGTCCTGAAAACGAGAAATAGGAAATGTAATGTTTGTGTGTGTTCCAATGGAGGGTTACAGAAAGATAGTTCCTTGATATGAAATCCAGCAACAATGTTCTTTGTTAGGATGCGATTTACCTATGAAATCCAGCTACATATGTCAGTTGTAGTATACATTCATACGAAATCCATTTGCTTATTGCAGTGCAAGATAGCCACACGATATACAGGTATTATTGTTTGATTTGTGAAGTTCCTCCTTGGTATCTCGTAATTCCATTCCATGAAATCCTAAGTCTACGAAATCCTCCTATCTTTGTTTTAATTCCTTCTTTACGAATGTAAAATGTATATTGTGTATGTATAATTGTGATATGAATGCTTAGATTGTGTTTTTAGCTAGACAGTGTTTTCTTTCATTGGAAAATCATTTTAGAATTGATCGAATGGCAAGCGAAAAGGGAATATACTTGAAGAATATACACTGTTGATACATACAATGGAGAATTGTATATCTGATAAGAAAAAATAAGTTTGCCCAGTTTTTCTGACAAGTCATGTGCAATGTTCTCGAAAGAAAGAAAAGTGATACCGCTGGTACATTAGTATTTGATATTGAAGTTGATTAGTGAAATAAGGCATGATCATAATATAACTGGAAGTGTTGTCATACTAGGTATGTGTTCTTTTGTCCAATTATTTTATCCTGTAATAAATCATTCAAACTTGCTGCACAATTATGGCGGACCTCTGAGATTGTCTCGATTTTAACTGTTGATAACTAGGTGGGAGAGTTTCAGGAAAATTGGTTTGAAAACAGGATTAACACTTGAATATGAGGATGGTTTGGTGAATACGCTTTTAGTCATCTACAATCTTGCCAATAGTGGGATACATGACAATATCAAGGAAACTCGTATTGTGTTTAAGAAGGTCAAAAGGTCAACACATTGCCATCAACACACAACACGGGAAGTATTGTTTATTGTAAAACACATTCTTTTGAATTAAAAAAAATAATAGGAGAGAAAAAGGCCAAAAGTCAAAAATGTATCTAACCGTTACATTTCAGTACTAAAATAGGTATGATGTCAGCTTTTGACGTGTGTAGTGATCACCTTTACCCAAGATCGGGTGTTGATACTGTCACCAGTCTTAACAAAAGAAATTAAACAGAATAGGTACATGTAGATACTGGTTACGGTATAATATTACAACACAATGTAGAACTAGCCATAGGATATGCACATGCTTTCAGTACCTACCTGTAATACAAAAATATCGTAATTCTACAATTTTCTACAATGTGATATTTTGTAGATAGAATGCAGACCTATGTTAGGAAAAATTACGTTACACGTGCAATAAACTTAAGTTATTTTATTGAGAATATATGCTCTTAGACGCATTTCGTGTTTTGTTATTTGTTCACTAGACGTTTAACTGTGATAAAATGTCCAAATGGTCATCAGAGAATTTTACCTGAACGGTTAACTTAACAGATGATATATCTAGGATGGACTTGTATTCACCAGGTATTGCCGCTATGGCTTTCATTTTACAACATACCTATTTGTATTGATTGACTTTTACACTATTAAGTCTCGACAACGACACGATGCTACCACGTCGGCAATGAGTTCCTTTCACTCAGAAAATGACTGAATTGTAAACCGTGGTGACGATTTTTTCTTTCTTCCGTATACCTATAAATTTTGTACATGAATAATTTCTGAACATAATGGGGACTGTGACAGCTTAAAACGTCATGAAAATGAGAGGACACCATTAACGTAATTGTTTGATTGTTCGACAGCGGTTTTCTTTAAACAATCAAAATGAAAACAATATGACCGTTAACAATCTCGACAATAAAATCTTATTGTCTGTGTCTTCGATCGTTGGCGATATCTCCGAATTAATTTCAATGTAAGGATCACATGAAATTCTGCCCTGTGACATAAATTTGCCTCCGTATATTCCGGCTGAGCTCCTTTCATCTCTCCAGCTATGCTGTCTCGTGGTTCTAATGTTCCCTTGGCTCCTTTTGTGTTTATTTCTACGAGAGAGATCTGGACAGAGTCTATATACAATATATGTACGAAAACACTCGCATAAAAATACTGTGGGGCGAGTCCGGGATGGGGTCGAGACGATGTCTCTTAGTAACTTAAAATGAGTCGTCACAAAAATTTTAACGTTTTTATTGTGCATCGACAATATTTTGGCTTTCACTCATGTACAGTGAATTATCGGCAAGACAGTACAGATGTATTAATATATAAGGCACAGGTGTGTGTGATTTCAGTATTTCTACATTATGTAGACAAGCCAGACTATAATATTTGTAAGAGGGGAAAGATCGAAGTCTGTTCGGGCCAAGCTCTGGTCTCCGGCACATGTACTGTTTAAGGCTTATTCGTTACTTTAAACTACAACCCTATTATATTTATATAGAACTCCTTTAATATCAATATAACGCAGTTACGTGGTGTTTTCCTGAGACAAGAAGCATCAGTTTAAGTGTTCAGTCTACATGGTTCTCCTTTTTATACGCCCGTCGTATGGCGGGACGTATTATGGTATGGCGTTGTCCGTCCGTACGTCGTAAACTTTCCTCGTCCGGGCCATAATTTTGTGAGTTCTTGGTATATTGTCCCCATATTTTGTACACATATATATCTCAAGGTGACAGCGTGTCGCGTATAAGAATTGTCCGCCTCGCATGCATAGTTTCTGAGTTATTCCCCTTTAGTTTTTCTGAGTTATTCCCCCTTAGTTCATTTTTCGTAAACTTTCCTTGTTCTTGAATAGCTTTGGACGGGCGTATATTGTTCCGCTCTGAGGTACTCTTGTTAAAACTTTTAAGACAGCCGTACAACTGTGCGTCTAATCCTTTCAATGATGTGTATCTAATAACACAGGTAATGACATAAGTTAAATAATTTATACCCCTCGCTGACCACATACATTCTCGACACTCCAGGGGTTACATAACGTGTAACCATATTGGTTTTATTAGTCATGTGTAACACAACCAATTGCAGCCAGACAATTACATCGATATTGTTAATTGTACTGAGCATGTTTATGGGTTGTACGGCTGACATCTATGAACCAGTTAAGTTTAATGATACCATCTGTTCAAGTGATTTTTGTTAGCGATTCGATATATCATGAAATAACAATCCAAGATGTAGTCAAAATGTACTTCTCCAGTTGTTAGGAGTAAACTGTTACAATAATTACTACAAAATGACTAATATGAATTCACATAGAATCAAGGAAAGGGAATTTCCCTATATAACAGGAATTTATCGTAAAGAATTTAAGTGCTTACCACGGGATATATATGCAAATGTTTGTGGGATAAATAATCTTTACAATGAAAATGTAATTTCACTCCCCAATGTGAAAAGTGTGCTATTTGTTCACGGAATCGATACTTCTTTGAAATCTCACACCTACAGATACTATCTAGAGAGCTCAACATCAATCTCGATTTGAAACTGTGTATTCAGTTTGACTGAAAAATAGATCAAGCTAAAAACAGGATGCTGTGTGTTGTAAATGCGCATATTTTATTTTCACGTGCACATTTATAATAAAATCAACATTTCTGAAGTCGTTATCAGTGAACCGCTACCTGGACTTAAAACTTTCTACATAGAAAATTTGGCATTACTCATCTTCCCCCGGTAAAGTATTTGATGTGGTAATATTAATATATAATAAACTACAACTCTCTAAGAATAGGTAATGAAAAGAGCGAAAAAAAACCCAATAAAGTGACGTTCTGACCAATGAGCAATGTTATCTACTTCAGAAGTGTTTCATGTATTCGAGTTATCTCTCTTCGTCCATTGTAAGATATGTTAGGTGCCGTATACCTACACGTACCATAGTATATGGTCTCATTACTATCACTAGTTCAGTCTCGCTTTACTGGGCGCCAATCATACCTTTAATTTCAAACCCGTCATTTTAAACAACTTATGAAAATTTTGTGAAGACAAGAGGTCTAGGACCATCATACATATACAAGGATGATGAGGATGATTCTTTCAGCTCGGCTGTCGAGGTAGGATCTAATCTTTCGAAGAAAATAAATGTCTTTTTAGAATATCTCCATCAATGAATAATTACTATGTATCTATCTCTGTAACCTGAAACGATCGCTGCTATTTATGAAAGGACAAACATGTTTGTCTCCATCAACAATATGTTTTTTTTGGTAACAAAGGTAAATATATTGTAGTGAATTACAATGAGACCGTTTCATAAGAACAATACCTTCAGATCATAGAAAAAGGACGAAAAATAGGCAAAATGGTAGAATTTTTTATCAAGTTTGGTGGTAAAACACACCACTGGAATATAGTGAACAAACTATGGACCTTGCAAAGTCCACCAATATCACTAATAGATATATTGATAACTTCTTAACAACAATTTACAGATCACGGGTACATATATACTCACCAGAATTAGAAATCACATAACACTGTTTTACATCAGCCGCTTTTCCTCGCTCTTTTCCTACAATGAACCCAACATGGACACATTTCCAAGAAGTTTTATGATAAGCTTGATTTCGTGAATTTTTAATTTCTGGATAAAAACATTACTGCTTCCCTAACCTACGTTATATAGATGTCTGAGGTAATTCGATATTCAAGGGTCTATTCCCTAAATCAATTTTTTTCGTGCAAAACCTCGACAGGTGAGAGACAAACTGACAACACAGGATTTCGAAAGATGCTGGCTGAAGAAGTTTTAGGGTCGTCATAGTCATTTCATTGAAAAAAAAACATTTTCCATCATCCGATATTAAGCTGGATGTGTTTGATGCTCGTTAGAGTGCCTGGTTGTTCTCTTGTTGGTAACTTTGTTTTCATTTGGGAACTTGATATAACTTACTTGGAGTGAAAGATATTTACCTGACAGGAGCTGTCAAAGAAGCGGAAGAGTTTAATCCCTTAATCTCTTTGATCTATAATCCCAGTTTTTCATGATCCTCCGTGTAAATCTCTCTTTTTTACTTAATGTTAATCTGGGTTACAGTCGAATTGTGATACGCTTTACTCAAGAAGTGGATTCAATAGTTTGTACATTTTAAATAACTCTAAATAGTCTTTGACAAATCTTCAACAACCTCTTCTAATATGAATTTCTTCTATGAGAACATTTGACTTTTCCACCAAGTACACAACCATATCCCATTCTTAACGTTCTGCTCCATGAAAGGGGAACGGCGGTATGAATATATGGTTGTAAATTAAACTGAAGCGTTCGTAAAGTGTACGTCCATGACGAAATCCTAAAATGATGGAGTTTTTGGTTGACAACATCTTCGTTGAACTTGGTGGTAAGATTCTAGCAGACAATTGGTGTACCAGAGAACTAACTGCGTCCCTCTGTTGGCTGACTTATCAAAGATCTTGCAAAGTCGTTTAATTTCACTTTCAGATATATTGATGACGTCTTGTCTATAAATGAAAAGAACTTTATTTACTACGTTCATCGTATATACCTACCGGAAATGGATTTCAAAGACATGACAGACTCTTCTACAACAGCCGTTTATCTCGCTCTTGTCCTTCGACATAACCAACATGGACAGTTTTCAAACAAGCTTTATGGTAAACGTGATGATATCAATTCCCCTGTTATGATTTTTTAAAATTTTTGTATAGCAACATTCCTGTATCCCGAACCTTTGGTATACTGTATTTCGAGTTGTTTCGCTTGTATAGGGTTAAACCTAAAGACTGTGTATGGAGTTGTCTCGCTTGTGAAGGGTTAAACCTAGAGGCTGTGTTTGGAGTTGTCTCATTTTTGTTGGGGTAAACCTCGAAGACTGAGTTTGAAGTTGTCTTGCTTGTGTTGGGTTAAACCTAGATGCTGTGTTTGGAGTTGTCTCGCTTGTGTTGGGTTAAACCTGGAGACGGAGTTTGAAGTTGTTTCACTTGTATTGGATATTCTATAATGAACAAATACAGTCATGGACATTTCCGTGGCTGCTTCTGTTCCATTGTTAAGTCAGCCGATGCAGGAATACGACAGATGGGAAGCCTGTTAATATCTAATATGTGTTCAAATTGAAATGTAATCTATTGTATAAATGTATCAACAGTACATTTGGAGTGGTTATAATTTCTTTATATAGTTACTAAATGAGTTTTGTCAATACAAAACTATACAGTATTTCACTGTCGATGTAGGTATAAGAATGCATCTGAGGTTTGAATCTTCCACTTTTTATGATCATTTCAAAGAACAATAGGAGAGTCTATCGTACTCTTAATTCTGCTGGACATACATGTACGCTATGGACATGGATAATGATGTAAAGTGGTCATCTTGGTTTTCACCACTTTACATGAGACCTTTACTATTATGACGTCA